GACTTCTATTGGGGCTGTGTCAGCTTAAAGTATGTATAAATGTAGAGTTGCGGCTTCCAGAAAGAATAGTTACCCTAATGAATAAAATGTTTCATTCAGTATTTCTCCCAAAGCTAGAGCTAGCCTGTGCTGTCACATAAGTACATATATAGTACTGTTTAATTTAAAATGACCTTTCTTTTGTTAATTGGACTTTGCAATTAGTTCTGCATTAACTTGTATATAAGAAGTCTTAAGACAGTGAGCTGTCTATGCAATGAGCTCAGAAATAGTGAAAAATTCCAGCTAAGTAGGGTTAATACCTCCATTTCTGTGGTTTGCATTGTTCATAACTTGGCTATTTGTTACATGCTCCATGTCAAATCTCAAAAAGGGCCAAGTTCATTTTGTGGTTTTAAGCATCTTTGCAAGTCTTCACTTAAAAATGAGTCCATTATATAGCGACTGGTCAAGTCTTCCGTGCTTTGTGTGGCTGAGCATTAAATTCCTGATGATGGGCCATGATTCAGAACAGAAAAAAAAAACTTGAAAGAGCATTTATACCTGCTGTGTGCTGTGGGAGACCCTGGTAGGTTACCTGAGGAGAGCTACGCAGTGTTTTGTATTTGAAATCAACACGTCTCATTCAAAGCAGGAGTTTGGGGACCTGTCTAAAAATATGCCAAAAAGTGATGTAATTGGCCACAGGCCAGCATTGTGGCGTGGGAGCCAGTTTCCATTCTGCTTTCAGATTGGTATAACAAATGCTTAAATAAAAAAAAAAAAAAATAATAATGTTGCGGTTCTGATTCTAGCAATTCCTGCCATAAGCTTTCTGTTTAAAAGACGAATGGAAAGTTATTACCTCACCGGCTCTCCCGGTAGCTCTTAGTGCTACTGGGGTGCTTTCTCCTAAGCGTATGGCCATCACCTCTCCTGTAACATACACAGCCACTTCTCCTTTGCACCAATTTTCTTTTTGTGCACCAGTTTTCTTTCTCAGTATTAATTCCTGAGTTCCCAAGAGCATTTGCATAGCATCCTACTTGAAGGACCTGGTCCAAAGCTTTCAGAAATCAGGAGGAATTTTTCCCTCTGCTGTAACAGCTGAAGGGATGGGCCTTTGAACGCTCAGCGTTATTTGTGTGTAGTGATTTTCGGCGGGAGCAAGGCACTGAGCACTCCAGTGGCAGCTGCTTATGACTCACCATCCCACACCCCTGCTCTCAGATGTCCCTGTTCTGTTTTTCCAAAGAAAGTAATCATCTTTACCAGTAGATGTCCCTTGCCTTTTTCTTGCACCACAGATACATGAGCAGGAAAACTAATGGCTGACCATTTCTTCAGGTTTTACAGAGTTTGCAGTTTCACTGCTAACAGTTATTAAATAAAGGTCCTGGAGTGATATGTGCAAAATTATGGGAATTTTCTGTTACCTGTTTCCTCAGGTAAATCCTTTTTGGCCAAAAATTGTAGATAATACAGAAAATATGACAGGCAATCTGCAATGCTTTTAAAGCTGCATTTAAAACACCAAAATAGAGATATAGCGTGTGGTTGTATGTTTGTGTACCCCAAACAGGAGTGAGTTAGATTCAGCTAATAACTTTTTATGTCAGTGTTAGTAACAGCAGTGTAAATACAGATAGTAATTACAAGTGGTTTAACAAAGCACTTTTACAGTAGTCAGACCTGGAGCCCACACATGTGGGGATCTTCCTCCACAAGAGAAAACCAATTCCAAAAACACTCTAGAAAAAACCCACAAAACAAACCTGTCATAATTTCATACATTTGATGAGTAGGATAGATAAAAGTATTATAGGTTGAATGCCAGAATATCAGATTTTTGGTGGGGGTTGTACTTAACATTGCATAACCGAGGCATTAATGTATTTCTTTTAGACACCCTGGTGATTTTCAGGCCAGACTTATTAAAAATGTAACCCCGTTGTACAGTGGCCTTCCCCTCTTCTTGTTAGTGATTACTGTGTTGGGATTTATTCACTTCTCTTCTGATACTTGGCATGGAGTAGTATAGAGCAGTTTGAACATCTGGCCTGGGCACGGTCGTCTTCTGTGCATTTTTCTGTATATGCAAAATATTCCTTTCATTAACTCACAAAAAATGAACCAGAAAGTCAGCCAAGTCTGGCTGTCAGTCCTCGTAGCCACAGCTGCCAAGGAGGGCTGAGTAGCAGCAGCAGTAACAAGGTCCATCGACCAGCTGGGATCAAGGTAACAAAACAAGGTAATGACTGAAATCTGGGGTCTGCCCAGGAGGACCAGGGCAGGGCTCAGGCCTCCCCTCAAGGCAGCTCAGGCAGGGCTGGGGGCCAGAGCTGAACCTCAGAGGGACCCCCAGGTGGGAGCAGGGGCCGTCCAGGGACTGGTCAGGGCTGCCAAAGCCTGTTGGTGCACTCAGACCCTGACAAGTACGTGTGGATGGCCCTGCACGTAACACGTGGCTGGGAGACCTCTCCATCTTAAGATGCACTGTGGGGTTAAACAGTCACCCAATACTTCTGTCTAGAGAGTGAACATCATTATTGGCTTTCTAAAGTAGCTGCTGAAAAATACCTTTTCTCTCCTACAAAAAACACTCTGTCAAACTGCTACAGAACTGTAATGTTTTGCAAAGCAAGACAGATCTCTCTAGACATTATTTTTCCTGTGCATATCTATGGTTTTAAGGCACCAATTTACTTATGTTCTTTACCAGCCCTCTTCTGAAACTGTTAGCAGCCGTGTTATTACACTGATTCTATTCTGTTTCTTTCCTGCCTCTTAATTCTTTCACACTATATCACTAATCTCAAATTCTTCTTCCATCTCTGCTAATTGCACTTTAGCCAGGTAGAATTACTGGTTGGAATTTCTCATCCAAATACTTAGAATTCCAAGAGCTCAGAGAAGGGATTACACAGTGCTATGTCCCAACTGATAAATGCAGTCCCTCATAGCAGCCTGGACTCCAAAAGTTCGACCAGTCATATTCACTTCACTGTGAACCTTGTCCACAGGTAACTTTTGCTCATGTCCCATCAGAGCCTCTGATTGGGGTTTTTGTCCTGCTGTTGTCTTGTCACTGAATAAGGGAAAAAAACTGTGGGCAGTTACATCCACTGGAAAAGAATAAATTCATACTGGCCTGCAAAAAAGCTATTTTTTTTCCTTGATAATAGATGATTACATTGTTTATTCTTTTGCATTTGACAAAACTGAATATAACAGAATGCATGGGAGAAGTGATTGGGCAATCAGTTTTCTTAGCATCAGAAAAGAGTCAAGAAACACTGGGTGCCTTAGAGATGTATGTGGATTAGTTAGAAATTTTTTGTAAGTCCTCACAGTGTTAAAAGTGAATAGTGCAGGGGTAGGTTTCCTTAAACCTGCATTTAATATTTTAGACTAAGGTCTTTCTGCATCAGAGACTGATAGGACAGGCAGTAAATAAAATTAATGCAGGCAAGTTGGAAATGTGGCCTGAAAAACATACCAGATGTAATGCACTTGGTACAGATGCAAGCCGTGACATTTTTCAGGAACAATCAGCTGCATAAATACAGGATGGAGACAAGCTGGTCTGATCGCAGTTATTCTGAAAAGTTTCTGGAAGCTTACAGTAGATTGCAAGGTGAACTTGAGTTCATGGTGTTGTGTAAAAGATAGGCACGGTACACAGATACCTGCAGAAGATTACAGCTTGGAAAGCACACACAAGCTCTCTGCTGTCTTCACTACATTCACCCTGGCAGCCTTATTGCTTATTGCCACTTATTGCATTAGGAATAGTACTAGGAACCCTATTTCAAAATAAGTGGAAATGTAAAAAACCCTGAGTAGAGCAATAAGAATAATCAGAGTCAAGAAGACACAGCCTTTGTGGACTGATTGATCAGATCAGGGTAGTTGTAGCCTAGAGAAAGTAGAAACCCCAGTATGCAAAAAGCCTGCAAACATGCTACAAGGCTGAAGAAAACGTAAAAGGAGTAAAATCCTTTCTGTGATGAAGCAGGCAGTCTGTCATGAGGTGAAGTGTTATGCATTTTCAGGCTGGATATTTGGAAAATCTTGGTAATGGTAAAGGTAACAAAGCACTGGAATAAATTGCCCAGGGAGGCTGCAAAGTCTCTGTTATTGGAAGTCTTGTAAGAAGGAATCATACAGACATCTGTCAGACACGACAGTGTTGGCCTTGCTTTGGATTACAAGGATGGCTTAGACCTCTGGAATTTGCTGCCAGCCTTGTGACTTAGTGACTGCGATAAGCAGTGATAGGTCACTTTCCTTAGCTGGACCTGTTAATGCTTCTCTTTCTTGCCCGAGACCATGGAGCTCTACTATTTAATTTCCAGTATCAGTTCCCTTTTGTTCCTTTTTTTCCCTCTCAAGTGTACTCTCAATCAGAGTTAATACCTCTTCTAACGTTTATGAATCCTGTTTATGTGCTAATTAATCCACTGAGAAAAACATTAATCTTTTTTTTTTTTATAGATTTATTTGAAAAGCAGTGACCTTGGAAGCTCTGTGGATGAAATAGAGCAACTGATAAGGAAACATGAGGCTTTTGAGAAGCTTCTGTCATCACAGGATGAGAAGGTACAAAAATCCACGAGCCAGAATGATTATATTATTTATTTATATATTTATTTTTAACATGACAACACATTAAATTGCTGACAGGTATGTTATGCCTCATATGCTTGAGCCAAAGAGAAAATGGGGGAACAGTGAAATAAGAGACAGAGCAGTGTTAGCACAGGCAGAACAAGTGTTAGACACTCCATGCCCAAGTCCTGCCTGTATTTTTTGCAGTAGACAGGAAAACCACTTGGTAAGTTAAATAGTGGGACTTACCACAAGAAATAGTGATAGCAGGCTATATTGTGTGTTATGGCTATCAGAAATTTCTGGTTTTTTAATAAAAAATCAGTGGCTTTTAAAGCAAGTAAAATACGGTAAGCTGGAGGGGATGACTTGTCTAATTATTTAAATATACATTTGGTATACATGTGTACTAAATTGGCTAGCCTTTTCTCACCTTTGGAATAGATGCTGAATTGCTCACCTGCATGTAAAGGAATCTGCCTGGCTGGTGGCCTCAGCTGTAATTCACCCAGGCTGGGGCTAACCTCAAACCTGGGGCTGTGCCTGGTTTCCCAAGAAGGAATGAGCTCCCAGAACCCTTGCCAGCTCCCTGCCAGACTGACTGCTCATGCTGAGAGCTACCTTCCAATACCTGATTTCCACAAAGCAATAAAACCTGAGTACTGTTGGGTGTCAGGCTTCCTCCATGATTCCTTGCATTGGATGATCAGTGGCGTAGGGATTCCTGGAGTTACAGCTTTAATTCATTTACACTACAAGACTACAGAGACCAATGACAAGGATGTCATAGATGTAACATAGTACAGGGTGTGGATGGGGGGAATGCTGGGTAACTTGCCCCTGCTATTTTTGGTTCATTCCGGAAAAAAAAAAAAAAAGAGAATCTTTTACATATGGAAAAGAGCATGGGTTTTGTTTCTTTCACACCATTTTGAAGCATAAAAGTAATTTGTTGCCTCCTCAGATGATGTCTCTTCAAGAACAGGCAAGCAGGCTAGAAAAGGTTGGTGGATTGGATGTACTAAAGATCCAGCACAAACTGAATGCCATTCGTGAGAGGAAGCAGCAGATCAAGGATCTGTCCCAGAGTAGAAGAGAGAAGCTGCAGACCGCCCTTCTTCTGGCACTTTTCTACCAGAACTTGGAAGAGGTAAGACAGTTTTAGACTGGGATGGGGGTGGTAGGCAGAGGAGCTGCCTGTCTCTGTTGGATGAAGTGCTTGTCCTTGCCGGAGATTAGGTGGTTGGATATTCTACTCTGGTATGGCAACTCCTGTTGTGCCCCACACTCACGCAAAGGGATGGGTGCTCCAATGCCATTGCTGTTACTATACCATCCTGCTGGCCTTGTGTTCATTACAGCTGCTTTACACATCAGGAGCTCTGCTAAAACAAAACTCATAAAAGGAAAACTGCCAGCTACTACCTTATGTTTCCTTTGATGGGAAAGAAAAGATATTTCAAACCAGGGCGAATACAAAGTGGAAAGCATTATGGCAAGGGTGACAGGGTTTACTAGTGCCCACTGAAGGCCTTCAAAACAGTGCTGTAACTTAGCATAGCTCTTCTGCTGCTGTGGACTGGTCTCTGCAGAGTTATGTTCATCTCTGTCTCCTGTTCTGGCCTTTAGTCCTGAAACAGAGTAGCTCTGCTCCTGGCACGCCTGCTGGAAAGACACACTAGGTCAGTCTTTCAAAGGGCAGCACAATGTGTGTGACTGAAAAATGTGCCAGCATCCGGTGTGTTGGCGTAAACAACAGCGCGCAGGCCCAGAGGGACACTTGCAAACACTGTTGCTGGTCTCACACGCACTCCTGCTGCTGCTGCATCCAATGGAATATCCTCCATGATTTAAAGAGAAACTGCAGGTGCTTGTCACTTCCCAGCCCATGAAAAATACACGTGTCCTCACGTAGGTCAAGTTATGATTGTCACCAAAGGCAAATGAATGCCTGCAACACAGCTGCTGCTGACAACCAAATTTATGTGGGTTTTGTTTAGTTGGTTTTTTTAAAAGAGTAGTTTAAGGAATAAATGGCTGCTAAAATTCCATTTACAGCACAATATTTTTGGAACTCCTCCCCCCCAGAATAACCAAACATTTAAATACCTTCTTCTTTAGATACAGTAAAGAGCCAGAGCTGCATGCTATTTGCTGATTTTTTAAAATGATCTTAATCTGTAATTACTTACACAGCCAAATATTAACTCATATTATTTGGCTATACTTTCTCTGTCACATGAACCAGTCCACTAGTAATGGCCAGTCCACCTCATGGACCAGCAGAGGGGAGTGACTGGAGTGGACACTGCATTGCACAGTGCTAACATTTTTGAAAGAGCAATGTACCTCATTGTTCACAGAACTGAGAGTATCCTTTTTGGTAGAGAAACTGTCAATGTCCTCCTAGAGATGCAATCAACCCATTGGGTAGGAATACTTCTGCATTCCTTCCCATCTCTCTGTAATTGTCAAATCAGTGCTGGGGCTGGGGTCCCCCTTCATTCTTGAATCACACACTTATAGCAGAGGATCTGGCCCTGTATACCAGGGAACATTTCCCTTTTCTCATCCACTTTCTCCACATAAATTTAGCCAGGAGTTCTATAGGGAGTTTTTGCTCTCAAACTACCTGCTCATTTACCTCACCAATCTAAATTAATTGCCTGCCGCTGCAGAATGTGAATGCCGCAAAGGAATTAAAAAAAAATAATCTTACATTAATATCTCTCTTCCTCTTTGTGGGGTAGAATGGAATGTTTAATTTGATTTTAATGATGTTCTGGGTGTGTATGAGTTCATATATGAGAATACTCCCTAAAGGGATGTTAATTTGCAAAGATGAGTTTGGAGTCTAGCTGTGAAATCAATGAGGTCATTGCTCAGTTATTAGGACAAGTCCCATAGCTTGCATCCCACTCCCCTAAAAACACTCCCTCATGCAATCATCTTACATCATTTCTATTGACCAAACAGAATTTTATCGGTCAGCAGAAAACAGTGATCTCTGTCATTGTTAAAAGTCTCCTAGTTACTCTCTAGAAGTAATTACAGAGAAGCAATTACACACATCAGTACAAAGACAATACAGTCTGTGATTACTGATGGGAGGATGGAGAACTCAACATTGTATGGTCTGCTCAGAAGGCTACCTGCTGCAGTTTGTACCCCTTTCAGAACACAGGACTTTGTTTTTTCTGCACAAAACCGTCAATGACTAACTCAGGAGATCACATGCAGCTCACAAATAGGACACACTCTCCTGCAGTAGAAGTAGGATGCTTTTGTAGTCCCAAAGAAGTGAGAGAGACTTATAAACTATCCTATTGTTCCAAAGCCTGTACCTCAATATTGACATGGAACGCAAATGAGCAGGTTGCTACTTAGAAATCTGTGTATTTATTTAAGTTATTGCAGAGGAAAAATCATAAAGTTGAAAGTTTTGACTTCTAAAGCTGGCTATGGGTTTTAATGCTGACTCTGAAACTTGCTCATTATATTAGTGTCACTTAACATCCTTTCACCCTCTGTTCAAGAGAATAAAGATCACTTACTACGTTATCTCAGAGGAGTAAGAAAATGAGTTATTCTCTTAATGTCTTTAAAGCCTTTATATGCTTTAAATATGCTTTAATAACAGAATTGTTATTAAAAATCAGGGTAATTTGCAAATAGTTTATGCTTTTGAGGTTTCAGTAACCGATATTTTGAAAATGTATGTTTCTGAAATTTGAGGTTTCAGTAACCGATATTTTGAAAAAGTATCGAAATGCAGTAGAAGTAGGATGCTTTTGTAGTCCCAAAGAAGTGAGAGAGACTTATAAACTATCCTATTGTTCCAAAGCCTGTACCTCAATATTGACATGGAACGCAAATGAGCAGGTTGCTACTTAGAAATCTGTGTATTTATTTAAGTTATTGCAGAGGAAAAATCATAAAGTTGAAAGTTTTGACTTCTAAAGCTGGCTATGGGTTTTAATGCTGACTCTGAAACTTGCTCATTATATTAGTGTCACTTAACATCCTTTCACCCTCTGTTCAAGAGAATAAAGATCACTTACTACGTTATCTCAGAGGAGTAAGAAAATGAGTTATTCTCTTAATGTCTTTAAAGCCTTTATATGCTTTAAATATGCTTTAATAACAGAATTGTTATTAAAAATCAGGGTAATTTGCAAATAGTTTATGCTTTTGAGGTTTCAGTAACCGATATTTTGAAAAAGTATCGAAATTGATAGTGCCCCCATTTTTTATGAGTCCCGTAGAAAAAAGACTAGTCCCATTTGCCTACACTGACCATAACAGTGGTCTCACTGTTGTCTTCAGTAAAGTGAAAATGCACGTCCAGGCATCAGTAAGTCTTTCCATAGAAAGATCTTGGGACAACATATCAGCCTTGCTTCACATCTGAATGTGGGCACGGGGCCAGAAGATGGAGGTCTCACTCTCTAGAGCCATTGTAAGTAAGCTTTAAAATAAAAACAAGCCACTAAGAGTGTGGATGTGATTATATTTTTTAATGGCTTTGTTCAGTCTTTTATTAAACCATTGCTTATTATTAAAAAAATAGGAGACAAATCTGCCTTTAAGGGGCTGTATGCAGGATTTTCTCATCCTAACTGTATGGATGAGCCTCTCCCATACAAATAAGAAGTCAGTTAAGTGATGTTAAATCGTTAATGTGTGGCTGGGTAATGGGAGAAGGCCGTAGCTTCTGGGGAGGGTATCAGAAATGAAAACAGCAGATCACAGTGTGCTGTCCTGGGCAACCTTGACTTAAGGCTTGTTTGAGTCTCTAACTGTGCTTTGGAGAGGAACAGTTTCTGGAGAGCGTGCTGCTAGTGAAAGCTATTTCTGTTATTGTTTATAGAATTTCAGCAGCTGAAGCAACACTTCAAATCATTAATTAACTGAGAAAATCCTCCAGTTGTCAAGTCTTGTGTGCATGTAGCACAGTTCCACAAGGACAGCCAAGATGCTTTGAAACTGATAAAGCTGGCTTCAATTTCTGTTCTTGTGTTGTCAAAACATTAGGTTACTTCAGTGGTCTGAGGACAACAGGATCAGTTACAACTTATGTCAGGTGTTCAGTTTTCAGTGTTTTGATGGATAGAAAATATTTCCTTCAGTGTTAAGGGCTAAAGTTTAGCAGACTTTCAAAAAAATTGTTGAAAACTCGCTATCCTATTGTCCATTTTGTTCTGCATACATTTAAATTCCCTAAAAGATGAGAATTTTGTAAGAGAAACACGTAACTCTTGCTTTGTTAGTGGCTCATGGTTCACCTGCTTTTCTGAATCTGATGTTCCTGACCAGACCATTTTGAATGTTATGAAGTGTAAAAGCAAACAGAGTTGTATTTGCTTTCAAATAATCTGACTCTAGTGCCTGGCCCCATCAGTAAGGGGCCAGGCTTTGCATTTTGCTTTGCATTTTCCATTTAGGTCTCACAGCATTGTTGAGATCAGGAAATGGTGGTGGTGTTTTATAGGTGAGGCACAGAATTCTTAAGAATCTTAACCAAACCTACAGATAGGTCAATGAGAGAGATAGGAGATGAAACTCAGAGCCCTAATTCCAAGGCTCATCTGTCATAATCTCATTTTAAATGTCTGCCATGTCAAAGCTGCGTATCTGCTCAAGGATTCTCTGGATCTAATCTAGAAGATTGTGTAATCTGTTTATGGCTTGTGATAAAATCTGAGGTATTCAAGGAATTTTTCATTATTCATGTGGTCATGTAAAAATTATTTCATTCCTACCTACTTCTATTTCCTAGCAAGTAGAGTAGTTCAGAAACTGGAGAGCCACCTCTGCTGTTAGCTCCTGGCTCAGTCTGCCTAGCCCGGACGTAGGCAGTTGCATAGAACAATGACATGTCTTGGGAGGAGGCCCCAGGTGGCACGTCATGCTAACTCTGATACCTCATGCTGTTGCAGGCAGAAAACTGGATCGGTGAGCGCATGCAGAAGCTGGAGGATCCTTCTGTACAAGACCCCAGCAATCTGCAGGACAAAATGAAGCTGCTGCAGAAACATCAGGTCTTTGAAGCAGAGATTCTAGCAAATGAAGAGATCATCACAGCTGTTACTGAGGTAACTTTCTTGCTCTGGTACCAATTTTACAGATTATTGCTAGTTATCCAAAGAAGGACAGATAGATGGAATGAAAAGGAAGGGTAGCTTGTTCACCACTTCTGGATCCAGTATCTTACATGTGTGACAAGAATCCAGTTGCTATGTCATGGAAATTTTAAATCACAATAGAGAGATTTGTTAATTGCTTTATCCAGAGAGCTTCCATCTTTTCTTATTGCCCAAATAGAAAGACATCATTGACTTCTTCCTTGCCTGAGGTGATTACTCCTACAAAAGGTAAATAGGATTTCATGCCCAATTTGTGAACATTCTTGTTGAAACTGAGTGAATCACTTAGCTGAAGGGTGCAATCATCTGTAATACCTCTCTTGGTGCTCCCATTCCATTAATGTCATTCTTGGCAGGGAATTATTCATATTCTCATGTTCTTGATTCCCTCCAGATGTAAAAGGTTTCCAGCTAAGCAGTATCATTTGGGCAGTAAGAATTTGTATTAGTAATCTATTGTATAGTAGCCCAGGTTAGGAAAGTAAGAGAGGTCGTGTAACATGGTAATCATATTAAAAATTACTAGCAACCTTAACTTCTAATTTCTTCTTTTGAATGTGAAGAAAGGAGAAGCCCTGGTATCAAAAGGCCACCCAAAGTCAGGAGAGATCCGTCGCCGAGTTCACGTGCTTCAGGAGCTTTGGGAGAAGTTGAAGAGAGCTGTTGCTTCCCGTGGAAAGATGCTGGAGGACAGCCGGGACTTCCTGGAATTTCTTCAGAAGGTAGACCAGGTGGAAGCCTGGATCAGGGAGAAGGTAAATGGATTCTAGTATTTAACACAAGCAGCACACTAGAGACTTGCTATTTAGCAACCAACTTCTAATAAATGGGTTATCTTCCACTGGAACAGGTTGCCCAGAGAATTTGTGGATGCTCCATCCCTGGAAGTGTTCAAGGCCAGGCTGGATGGGGCTTTGAGGAATCTGGTCTAGTGGGAGGTGTCCCTGCCTATGGCAGGGGGATTGGAACTAGATGATCTTTAAGGTCACTCCTAACCCAAACCGTTCTATGATTCCAAGGAAATTTCTTAGTGGCTTTGCCTGGAAGAATCATGGCATGTTCTACAAACAATATGGCAGGAATGATTCAACAAATTCTCAAAATTTTATGGAGCATTTCCATGCCAGAATCAGTTGGACAGTATTAGCACATGTTCTCATGTAAAATATGCACATGAAGAGTGCATATTTTACATGATTATTGGTGGTCATCTTGTGTGTCTATTGAGACAGAGAAATGAAAGCAGACTAGAATGGAAGAGACTTGAAGCATTTGGCGACAAGCACTCACTGTCATTGTGTATCAAATCTGAAAGTTTCTTTTTGTAAGAGTGAAGGAAGAGTCACTGGACCTGCTAGGTTTTCATTAGAAGTTCTTTCCATAATCTCTAATAGATTGCAGATGGAGTTGGGACTAAGTCTCATAATTATCTAAAGATCAGAAGAGACTACTTCAGAAATTGTGTCAGTGATTTACAGACACATCACAGAACTGACTGCGTAAGCATTGGGACATGCTGTGTTCTTGTACCCTTAGCCTGAATGTTTGCCTGTTTGCTGCTTATTTCCTCAGGAAGTCATGATCAATGTAGGTGATCTGGGAAATGACTATGAACACTGCCTGCAGCTCGTGAAAAAGCTGAATGAGTTCCGTGGAGCAACATCAGGGGTAAGAGGTGTTTTCCATACACGTGCATTATGTAGCTGGAAGCAGCAGTTACCTTTTCAGTCCAGCGATAAATCCAGGTAGGAAATACACTTCCAGTAACCTGAGGAGGTAAAAGATCGTGGAGGTAGGAAGCATTACCACTTTATAGGCCATTAAAATAGTTAGAATTTTCCCTCATTGTGCCTTCTGCTTTGGTGATGTCTAAGCAGAGCTGTCAGGCACTCATGATGCAATCTAAAACTTTTGATTGCATTACATGACTGAAAAGGTGGCTGTATGAGCCTGAATTTGAGCAAATTTCCAATATGGTTCATGCAGTCTGCAAGTCACAGTGAGTTCCGTCCAAAAGTGGATTAAAAATGGTTGTTTCAGCCATGTTTGTTTGAATCAGAAAGATGGTCTAGACATTCCATGAACAAGACCATAAAAAAAACAAATGGACCACTCTTCCATTTTGCTCCTTTCCCTCTCTTCCCCTCTTGAGGAACAGTCAAGTTTCTCATATTTCTTCATCCAAATGAAGTACATATAAGTGGGGGACTTTGTTTATACAGCACACGTGGTAGGTCATGAAATGTAACGTTAATAGTCAGACGTAGTAAAACAGAGCAAACGGTTTACACTTGGGATAGCAGCCGTGTGACAAGACAGCTGCACGGTTCACCCTTCTGTGCCAAGGTCTGTGACACTCTTCCGTGGTGCTGAGTCACGCCAGCTGCCTCTCCTGTCCCAGTGAGACGTGCTAACTCGGGCACCAAACCTTGGGCATGCTGGGGAGCAGGCCCTGCCACAGCAAGGGCCTCCTCGTGGTGTGCTTCAGCTCCCACCCTGAGAGCTGTGAGGCCAGGCATTGAGGGGATGCATTTGCAGCAGCCCCTTGTTCTCTCTGTTCCTGTCAGCTACTGCAGATGTGGACTAACAGGTCTGAGTGTCAGGCAGGCATTGATCATTGGTTTGCGAGTCTGGAAGCTGCGAGGAAGTCTGGAAAGAGGTATATTGGGACTTTGTGAGTGAGGCTTACTCTAATGTTCTCTCCTGGTTGTCTTTATCCTTTGTTTGCCTGTGACTTTGTTGCTAGTTCCTGTTAGGGAAGCTCCTATCTTCTGTTTCTGTTGCCTAATAGCAGAAGGAAGCAATCCTCTTCTGTGCAAAGTAACGGTATAGATATGCCTGACAAGCAGAAGGAAGCAATCCTCTTCTGTGCAAAATAACGGTATAGATATGCCTGGTAGAAACCCCTGGGCTTCCCCTCACAGAATGTCCTGTGACAGTGCATGTGTACTGGATTTGGGTAGAGACCTGAAATACTCAAGCTTCTGCACCAGGGAATTAGTGAAGGGACCTTCATTGTCCCTTCAGCCCTCACCAGCTGAACTGTGAACTGAAGGATGGAGCAAGGACTCTGCTACAGGTTGTACCAGGCCAAAGGAGGATAGTGAAAGAGACAGAAACTACAACCCAGTGTCCCAGTCAGCATAAGGTAGATTTTATGTGTCACAGGAAACTCTTGGCCTTAGAAACTATCAGCTTGTAGCCACTGATACAGCACTTTGTAGGTGATACAAACAGTGGCAGGTTGGGCCAGGTGTCCATCCCATCTAGGTTTCCCCACTAGAGAAATCTGAGATCAGGGTAGGGAAGCAATCGTCCTGCATTGATGGCCACCAGATTTTCTACTCGTATTCTGTCACATTATGCTGCTATTATCTCCCAGGAGAGGAGACTGCAGGGTTTCTGAAGAAAGGGAGGTTGTGGAGTCCCCTTCCTTGGAGATTTTCAAGACCTGCCTGGATGCAGTCCTGAGTAACATGCTCTAGCTCTAGGCAATCCTGCTTCAGCAGGGGAGTTGGACTAGATGATCTCTATGGTCCCTTCCAACTCTAAAATTCAGTGAAATTCAGTGAAATTCAATGAAATATCTGTCTGTCTGCTGGTTTCTCTTGTTTACTTTATGGCTGTGTATAATAGTAAAGCACACATGGATGCATGCACAGACTGGTATGGATATACCATAAAAATAAATACAAATGGAGTCAATACTTCTATTAACAGTGTGCTGGCATCTTGCAGCTGTGCTTCTACTACACCAGTGATTAATGTCTCTCCACTAGGCTTGTGATTTACTGGTCTTAGGAAAACAGACCATGTTTTTTCAATCTTGGAGCAGTGTTCAGTGCTGGCCGTCTGTCATGCTCAAAAAGAACAATTATTCCACTGTAGTCCAGATTACATGTGCAATGTGCAAATATTATACTTTCTATGGTATGTACATAGGAAGCAAGTTGCCTTGAAGGCTTAGCATACCTTTTAAAATGCAGTGGTGATGCCTTAGAAGAAAAGCAATGGCATGGGTTGTCTGGGTTTCTCAAGGCTTTTATGGATTTTAAGTCTGGTGTCCACAGTGCAGAAGTTACAGCCGGACAGAGGCCTGTCTTGAAAAAACAAGCCAGTAGTCACTGTCTGTCTGACAGAGGAACAACCTGCCACACACCAGCTATTCCACAGCAGCCACCAATGTAATCAGCAACTGCACCTATGTTTCTTCAACAAATGAGCCCCTGCTGGAGTGCCTGGCTTAGAAATGAAGCTCTGAGGGTTCTTGTCTAGACCTAGATCATTGTTGTATCTGTAGTCATTAAAGTCCTTTCTTGCCTTTACTGTCTTCTCATCGGGGCCTTATAACACCAGCAGCTGTAGCAGGGCAAACCCCACTTGTCTGAAATGTTTGGTAGTGAGGTAAAACTCTTGCTTGTTGCTGTTACTGTAATTTTTCCTGTCTCAGTGGAAAACTCAGTGAGGAGCGTTTCAAACACATACCTTTTCTCCTTTTCTCACTTTACAGGAGATGACAGTGGATGATGCTCACATCAGGGCTATCAATGCCCTGGCCGTGAAACTGGAGAGACAGAACAAGGAAGAAACAAAGACAATATATGAGCGCCGCAAGCAGCTCAACGAGAAGTGAGTATGCTTTTAAAGCTTCTGTGTAAAGCAAAAACAGGGAGGGAATATTAGGTGTCTTGGGCTGGGATAAGACATACATTTTCTTCTTTAACATCATGACTACCAAACATCACGCACTGGAGTTGTCTTTCAAGACTTTCAGAGCAGTTAGCTCTTGGGCTGGGATAAGACATACATTTTCTTTTAACATCATGACTACCAAACATCACGCGCTGGAGTTGTCTTTCAAGACTTTCAGAAAGTCAGAAGGATTTCTAATCTAGCAGGGCCAAACTCATGTTTTTAGCCTTGAAGGCACATATGCTATTTCACAGCACTTTACACACTAGATCCGTGAAACTAAGACACTTCCATCTGTTCACTTAGTTGTCCTGGTGAAGTGCTTATTGCTTTTGCTGCTTCACGGCCCACTAGCTAAGAACAAAAAGCATGAAGATAGGGATTGTGAGGTTATTGAGAGGTTAAGGAAACTGGATTGGTACTTTTTAGCTTTTAACTCCCATGCCACCCTGAAAACTTGGAGTAAATATAACCAGATAGTCTTGTCAGGACAATGCTTTATCTCTGTGATGAGTCTCCTGTCATGGGGAAGTGGGGATCAACACACAAGGTAGCTCAGAAATCCTGTCTTTGTACTTGGATCTGAGCATCATGAAACTCAGATGTGGAAATCCTCACCTCTGAACTACACCTCTAAAATATTCTTTTCAATAAAAGGTGGAACAGTTTCCATGGTAACCTGAATGCATACAGGAAGAAGTTAGAGGGAGCTCTAGAGATTCATGCCCTAATCAGAGAAATTGATGACATCACAGAGAGAATTACCGAGAAGGTGAGTTCTCAAATTTTTATTAATTGACATGAGAAAATGTTCTTTTTTGCTAACAGTGATAAACCCAGGCGTGCCTGTTGCTAGAGTGATACTGAGTCTCCAGCAGTGATCTTTGACAGTTGTCTGTGTATCAAGTTTGCATCTCCTTCAGACAGTGTTGAGCCATGTCCCTTCTGAATGCCAAAACCAGTTAGCTGAGTTACCATAAAGCTTTTTCTGAATTATTTACTCATCTTGAATATAGCAACTTCTAGTGTTCCAAATTAAGAGCTAGTCCATTCAGCGCTAGTTTGCATATCTCTCCCTGCTGTGCAATGCAGACATATTAAATAGGTAAGTTTGAAAAGCTGTAGAAAAGTCTTATTCATTCAGAAAACAGAGGTAAAAATGCCTATCCTGGATTATAATTTTGAGATTAATAGAAGATAAAAGCTATATAAACATGAATTATTTCATCCACATAACTAATTATATTAATTTAAGTATAAGCCAGTAGGCAGGACCATAGAGGTACTACTTAAGGTTCCAAGGCCATTGATTTGAAGTTTTTATAACAACTTTTACTAATGTATTTCTTCATTGCCTAGAATTTCTCTTCTGGTAGGATTCTGGAGGTCAATTTTATTTTCCATATTTTCATAAAACACACTTGAAAATTTCTGTGCCCTGATTTAATGGGAAGTATTTGGCTGTTCTGGTATATGGGGGGAAAAAAGGGGAAAAGAAAGTTTGAGAAATGCAGCGAAGCATTCCTGTCTTTGTTTTATATGTGAATGGCCAGAGGCACCTTAAGTAGGATTGGACTGTTCAAAGAGTTGTGAATACTTGTTCCATCCCTGTAAAGAGTGCAAACAAGGTGCCCTGTTGATATTTATAAAGACAATAACATTCAAATGGCAATACTAAGAATGGAAGGAGGAGACTATTTGAAAGAATTAAGATATGATCCTTTTGCTTTTTGTCATCTTCGCCATTTGCACATCCTTCTGCCTCCTCCAGAGTGCACTGATACAAGCACTGGACTATGGGAAAGATGTGGAAAGTGTGGAAAACCTGATCCGAAGGCATGAAGAGATGGAGAGAGAAATCAGCGTTATTAAGTCCAAAATTGAGGTAAGAATTGTAGAAGTGCAGAGGATACTGTAAAAGTTCATTTTTGCTTCTTGGAAACATGGTGCAAAGATCAAAGTGACTCCTCAAATTCATTAGTATGAATTGCACTGCAAAGCAGACACAGCACAGATTTCTTCTCAGTAAAATACTGTGCTACTTAATCCTACTTTTTTCTGTAGCTCTCCATCTTTGCCCCAGTTTCTGTACTGACTTGGACTAAAATCACAACTCCAGTTCTGTTCAGAACTGAAACGCAAAACCCACGGTTCATGTAGTTTTCTGACACAGACAACAAAACCAGAAATCTTAGGTTATAATTGCCTGCCTGATCAGCTCTGGCTTTTGTAAAATGGCCAGTTTGCATCATTTGGAACTGATCCTGAGTATTAAATATGGGTCTAAGGTCCTATATAATTCCATATTTTTCATGAAATGTTTTCAATTGAACTGCAGTAACAGAAATCCTATGACAACCTCTCAGAGCTTTCACTGTTGGACACAGTTTTAAGCCTTTTCATATAGAAGATTTTTTTGCAAATTTTCTCTAAACTATTTTTTCATAATGGTATGCAAATGGTGACAATATGTGTGATGCCTTCACACATTGTGACTTTGTTAGCTAATTCTCATATGAAACGTGGGTGATTACTAGTCAGCATTCCAGAGATAGTGTTAGCAAGGCTGTATGGGGGAGTGATGCACGGAAACAGAAAGATGAGCAAGGTTTGGGTTTAGGTTTGGGGGTTTTTTGATGCTGCCACAAATATGTACAAAGTATAGTATCTGTACTTTTCTTATGGATTAAAACCAGCCTGGCATATTCTGCCTTCTGCATAATTAAAATTCTTCATTTTCATCGATATGATGGAGTTTTACAAGAAAGATACCAACTTTAAATCTGGGTTAGTGAACGTTCATCACTGTTTATCAGGCTGTATTAAGGAAAACTTATCAATTAGAATTCCACACTGGAAGTAGTGTTTTGATGGTACTGTTAGCTGAAATTGGTGCAAATCATTTTTGAGTCTTCTGCTGAAAGGGAAATCTGGTTGCTTCTGTGTTCTGCTATATTTTCATGGCTTTTGTTACCCATCTTAGTTAGACTAAGCTAATAGAGGTTGCAATTAGTACTTCATTCTGCTGTATGTTTGTTTCTATTCTTCAAAACTACTTTCTTAATTGTAAATTAACATTTGTGCATGTGAAGCAGCACACACATCTCTTTCTTCCGATGGATGATTGCTTGCAAATGCATATGTATTTTTTTGTGCTTATAAGAAGTCCCTTTGTATATTTTGTTATTGTAATTTAAGTACCTGCTTTTGAAAACTGGTATCTCAAAATTAACTACTTTTCCTGAAAGGCAAACTCAGGAATGAATATAAGTATTTGGCATAAATTCACCCCACTATAAATCTCTTCCCAGCCATTGCAATTGGAATCTTTCCGCCTTTCCACAAGGAATCCATCCATAAATGACAAACTGACTATGAAGCAACAGGAGATGAAAAACAACTGGCTACGACTCCAGGGACAGGCCAAACAAAGGTAAAGGCTTCTAGTGGTCTGAATAATTCTCATCAGGAGCAGAGCTGCTCCCTGGGGTCTTGAATCTACTTGCAAAGGGCTTTTTAAAAGTTTTTGAGGATCCTTTACAAAGTTTATACAGGCAGCTAAGACACCAGCATTGGAACAAGTGTGACTTGGTACAAGAAAGGTTCCACTGGTGTGACTTTGGGAAAACTTATCCCACTAAATAATGTTACTAAAATGCCTCCAGACTGTAAAATTAAATCTATCATAAAGCCTTATTTTTGGATGGTTCTAGAAGATTATTTTTTCCTTTGAATCTTCCCAAAACTAGAAAGGCTTAGGCCTATATTGTAGTCATTGCTGGAAGCAACAGCTACGAAGGCTTTTTCACCTTTCTTGTCCTAATGAACTGATGTAGAAAATAAGGTAAGCATGTTATCTCCAAGGCAGTGTGCTTCTCCTGTGATTTTAGTTTAATATGAGGACTGTTAGGAGCTGTAAGGGAAAGCTTAGGAGGCTTGAATTCACTTCATTTGGCTTCTCCTAGGATACCTTCCTCTGCAAATGGGTAGGGAGAGGCAACTAGATAATTCTGTGTTGGATAATGCTGAACTGCACATTGTATGGCAGGAAAGAGAAGCTGGCGGCCTCGTATCAGTTGCAGAAGTTTAACTTGGAGATGAAGGAGATCCTGGATTGGACCCAAAACATGAGAGGCTTAATGGAAGCAGGGGGGCTTCCTAAAAGCGCAAATGAAGCGGAAAGCATGATTGAGGAGCATCAGGAGAGAAAGGCAAGTATCATCCTTGCTTCCAGTTGAACATACTGGGGATCTTCCCCATGGGAATTAACTGCTGCAGACACAGCAGAATTTTGCTGCATGCGGCTGTCAATAACATGGTGAAAACATGTTTTCAGTAACAGGCCAGGGACAGAAGTCACCTAGGTAGTGACAGACTCCATCCCATGGTCTGTTTGGTACCTCCTGTCCCTGCAAAAAATCTCAGAAACCCCATTAGCTCTCAGCTGTACTGCTGCCCAACCCTGTAGGTAAAAAGCTGGTTCAGAATCAAGACATGCTCACTGCCGAGCTCTTTACTCGGATTGCCAAAAGGTTAATGCTAGTTAATTCTAGCTTTGAGTTAGATTTTGTCATGCAAACTCCATTTGCCTGAGCAGAAAATAAAAGCAGCAGTAAATTACCATTGGATGGTACTACACATTCAGTTCTGAAACACTTCATATCCCAGTACTAATTACCACACAATCTTTTGGTGGCTAATTTGACTAATATTTTTGGTAGATTTTCTAAAAGGAATGATACTGTTAATTCACCTTAGAAAAAAGTTAATATTTTTCCCTGTGTCATAGCTATCTTTTAGCTGCTGTGTTACCATTTCTTTGCAGTCAGATTACTTTTTCTAAAAGCCATATTCCCAGAATCATGACTAATATCCAGTGCTTTGTAGCTCCCATTATTAGCACAAATAGTTTGAAGATTCTGATTCTTTATCAGACTTGAATTTAGTGTGAAGTATCTGAGTCCCCTTCTTTATCAGAGCCTTCCATTTTAACAGTGCTCTCTCATGTCAGAGACTTTATTAATAATGTTTTAGCTAAGAATTCTTTGTCACAATAAAAATAACCCAAACCACCAGTGTACTGTACTCCAAATTTAGATGGTAGCAAGATCTAAATCTTTAATATCTGTTAGTAAAGAAACCCGAATGGCTCTAAGGAGATAGTCACACAGAAAACGAGGAATCCAGGCAATATGTTCTTTTGTATTGAGTTGACTAAACTAAAATTATAGACAAGAAAAATGGAAGGTTTTTTATTTTTTCATTCAGGTGAGTGGCTCAAACCAAAAGTCCTTAGGAGACACTAGAGTCGAACACAAGATGCTAATCTGAATTTAAAAAAAAATCAAATGTCTATTTTATAGCAGTGTTATCTATGATTGGGCAACATCACACCCTAAAAAAGCCCTAAAACCAGCAGTTCTAATTTCAGACATGTAATAGTAAATGTCATAGTTTTAAAGGTGGTTTGTGAGTTAATACATGGCATTATTTCAGTGAAAGGTTATTTTTATTTTCAAATTGTTTACATTAGGAATTCCACATTCAGTTTTCAGGGGCCATAGCTGCTTATAAAGCTTTCAGCTTCAGGATTCAGTATATAGACACAATTCATTGCTCAGACCAGGTGAAAAAGTCAAATGTAAAGTAAAAAAGTAAAATTTTAACACCATGAAATAAAGTAAAACTTTGTCTATAATGAAATGATGCCAAGTTATTTGGCAGGAGAGGAAAAGGCACTGTTTCTCATAAGAACCACTTTTATGTAGGAAGACTGTGGGGGGATATGGTATTATGGATGTTCAAAACTATGTTTCATTTATATCTAAGTATTTTCTAATCTGTTTTTAATTTAATCCCAGTTTTGATTTGTAGGAGACCAATTGTTCCTAGAGCAATAAAGTCATTTATTGTCCACATTTATTTTCTCTTAGGCAATTCTATGTTCTTTCAGTGACATAACTCAAAGATGAATGATTTTCCATACAAATATTAGTGTTGGAAGGTTACAGCCCGTATTCTTCCCCTTAAGGCTTGTATTCTGAAAAACTGGCGTTCCGTAAACCCTTGACACCAACCTTAGTAATATATTTTAGGAGGAGATTGAAGCACGGGTGGAAAGATTCAATTCTCTCAGTAACTATGGTCAAGGACTTGCCAATTCTGGTCACTACGCAACCCCTGAGATTCACCAGTCCCTCTCCAGACTGCAGCAAGCCTGGGCTGAACTGATCCAAGTGTGGCAGGAGCAACATACAAAATTGCTTCAGGCACAAGATTTGCAGGTGAGTAAAAAGACATTCAAGAGAGCATGCACATGTCACTGACAACTTCCCTCGGTGTAAACAGCAAATTTATAAGATGGTATAATGAAAAATATGCTAATAATAGCCAGTGTTTCATGTATATTTCACTGGTTTTCAGAAGGCATGCTGAGGGCCAAGCCCATTCAGTGTGATGGCTGGGCTTCTAGAAATTGTACCTTGACAAATCAAAGAAATTTCTGTGTAATATGTGCCCAGATGTTTTTCAAAGGCAAAAAAACTTAGAAAAAATTGGTCAAACTCTCATACAGCTGGCAAAAGGCATGTACTTAGAATGGAACATCATTACTTTACTAAATTCTATAACTTCCCCTGAAAAACAGTATTTAAAAAAAATGATCTGAAGAAAAATTTAGCGTGGACAAAACACTGTATTTTTCCCTGCATTTTTCTAAGAAAAGAACTGGTTTGGCTTCAGTTTTCCAGAAATACTTCCCTGTAACAGTCATCTCACAAAATTTCTGCTCAAATGGCTTGTTGGCAAAAGTTAGAAATAACTGAAATGGAGCTTTTACAATGGGGAATGTCAAGTACCTTAAATAACAGCTGGTGCTACTAGTCCCATCTAAAAAGCTTCATATATATGAGAACTTAAACCATATGGTAAGGGCTGCTTTCATGCTGCTTTATGCATTACATTCTACTTATTTCAGGCCGTGTTACCGTCCTTTTTATTGGCCAATTACCTTACAAGCACTCTCTACACCATTAGCAAACAAGCTACAAGTACTTGTGTTGTATCCTTTGTCTTAGGAAAAAACCTAGTCATATTATGAAGGAGAAATTTACAATAATAACTGTTACACATGTGGATTTTGTAGTATTCAATGCTTATTGCCATCCAGTGTTATGCAGTTTATTTTTGGAATAGCCCTGGAAGTTTGGTTTTTTCAGCATGCTCTGAGAAAGTCAGGTTTGCCTCTGTTTTATGCCATGTTTATGACTGCTTTTTCTCTCCCTATACAGAAATTCTATGGCTATGTGGAACAGACTGAGAGCTGGCTGAGCAGCAAAGAGGCTTTCTTGGCCAATGAGGACTTAGGGGTAGGTGCTCTGAGAAATTACAATTCTCTCTGCAATCGGTCTGGAGGAAAGGGAGCTGTGAAATATGAAGGTGTGCTCCGAACCTTCCTGGATCTTTCTCCTTCTGAAAGTTACTGCTCTGTCGTGTTGATGGTTTAGGATCAGATTCCTTTCCTTGAAACTTTACACAGGACAGGATTCTCAGCCTCAAGAGTAATGAAATAGTCCAACTACTCTGAAGATAGCAGGAAAATGAGACTGCATCTCTCTAACTGGGCATATCTGACCCAAATACTTTCACCAGCAGCGTGCAAGTCATCACTGCTGTCACTGCTGATGTACTCAGTGTAGCTTTAAATTACCTGCCTCGGGTACCAGTAACACTGCAATAACTGAAACCACAGACTGGGTTGCAGAAACTATGCAGGAAGCCGGATATACGTTCTGATGCTTAGCTTACCCTGCACCTTGTATAGGTAATGCTACCAAATTAGTTGTCTCTGCAGCAACTACAATTACATCTCAGAGTTCAGTGTAGACATAATGAGTACAAGCAGTATGACAAACATACGTGTATATGAGACTCAGAAGGAGCCACCCATTTTCCAGTTATATTTAGCTCAGCAATGCACAGAAAATGTTCTGTTACTACCTTCCCTTTCAATGACTCATGTAAGCACCCAGAAGTTTACATTTTTTTTTCTGACCTATTTGATGTGAGCTTTATTGCTTCCTTTAGAATAGTGAGAAAGCAGAGTTTATTGTGGTAACAACATTTTGACACCACTGATTATAAAATTAAAAGTGCAGAAGGTTGCTGAAAAGAGAACTCTGAGTCATTAAACTTGGGATTCACAAATGTTACAAGTCAAAATCTGTGTTTCTCTTCAGATTAACTGTAATGTCAGACTCGAGTCCTCAAATTCAAATCTGGATCTGAGCTCTTCCAAATTCTATGAATTGAAACTGAGGCTGTAATTTTAATCTCTCTCTGTGACACATTTGTTCACTTAACTCTGTTCTCAGTTTGGCACCCCACATTTGCTTCCAAAATAGCATGTGTCTTGAGATTCATTTGCGATTAGGAGCTGATGCTTTATCTCTTAAAAACTGCTGTGTTCTATGCAGCACAATATGCAGGAGAAGCTAAGCACCCAGCTTAGCTTTCAGTTTTTACCCTGAAACAATGGCCTCAGACCATGCACAGAACGTTATTTAGGCCACAAGTCTCAGATTCAATGCCAATGAATTTCAAAGACCAATACATTTTCTTGACAGCTTGCAAATGTGGGGTAAATGCCATTTAGCTTCTGGATTATCAGTGTTGTGGATGGAAAAACTCTGTCTGAAAGCAGCTCCTCTGTGTTGAATTCTATCCAGGACTCAGTGTCTAGTGTGGAAAGCCTACAGCGGAAACATGCGCAGTTTGAAAAAGCCCTGGAAGCTCAGATGGAGAAAATTGATGAGATGGCTTCATTCGCTCGGCAGCTAACGCAGAACAAGCATTATGACTCGGATAACATCACCAACAGATTCCAGGCTGTTCTGAGGAGGTAAAGTCAAACCCTTCCCATGTCAGCCACCCATCTCTTTTACAACGAGAATTTCCCATGTGACTAATATCTTTAAATGTTTTACGAGAACCATAAACTAGTTTGCATTTATTCAGCTTTGCGCCTTGCACTGTGGTCTTGCCAAAATGGCCTGAGTCTAGTCAACATTTCATTAGGAGGTTTCCAAAATACAGTTAAGAGCAGGGGGAGCAGGATTCAGAAAAAGGCAGTATTCCTGTAATTTGGTATCCTGGCCTGGTCTTAGGGACAGTGCTGCAAACAAAAGACACGAGGCCTGCTGTGCCATTAAATACTTCATTATCATTAAATACCGTCAAGAAAGGTCATTTGCTACACAACTGCTTTTTCACTGCTCAAAAGGAGTCGATCTTAAAACCCTGCTCAAATTATCTGTTAGGGCATTTGCAATATTTCTGATCAGATCCTGGCCTTTCATGTGAATTACTTTATTTTTCATAGCATGTTCCATATTGTTCATTTTAACTGCTGACAGTAGAAGCAGTTTTATTCAGTGCTATGGTAGATGAAAAGATACACGTAAAATTTACAAAGAGACATTGGAGAATCCCCTATGATTAAAGTGAACATATTGATTGTAATAAATGATCAAACTGTCTCAGGCCTACAGTAACATGAATAAGGTGCTGCAGGTCCACATTTGGAAAAAAAAGATGAAAAGATGGTGTAGCTTTGGTTCATCGGTAACAAATACCATCATATCCCCAGGATTTTCATTTAAGAAACATGCTGAGTTTTTGTTTCTCTTGTACGCTGAAAGGCAGTAATGGTGATTCCTAGAGGCAGACATCATATATAAAGAATCTGTGTGTACTGTGAGGGTTAGATGAAAATTGAAAACCCTTATCTTATCTAACTCACTCTGTGGCTTTTTACCTCGCACATCTGTCTTCATCTCAGAAAAGAGAAACTGCTGGAGAATGCTGCTGCTCGCAGACATCTGCTAGAGGAGTCAAGGCTTCTGCAGAAGTTTCTGAGGAATTCCTTTGAGGTACAGTTACACAGGATTCATGGTATTCTGGTCTCTTAAAACATACTGCACCGCATAGATCTGAATTCCTGAAGAGATTTACTGTGAGAAAAAATCAAGGAACTAGAGTCTGGAATGAAATGATATAAGGAAAGATGAGGATAAGAGTGAAGAGATATTTTTTGGCTTTCAAGTCACAGCTTCCCTTCAGTCACCAGATGAAAGATGTGCTGTGCATTGGATGCCAGCAAAATGCAGAAGAAATAAACGCATTGAAAGGGAATGTGCCACCATTTTAAAATTCATGGGAAGAGACAAATTAGTTCTTGTGAGATAATGGCAGTGGGTTAGCAATAGGGAGATAATTGCACTTTCTCCCCCATGCACAGATGCACCCACTCACTTTCTCACTGCACGGGGACTATCTCATGGAGACAGCCCCCAGGTAACTGCTGGCAAACAGAGATACAGGGCTCAACTTCATTATGAAAGATATAAGGAGCTTAGGGAAGAAGAACCTCAGAAGGACGAAAGATATAAGGAGCTTAGGGAAGAAGAATCTCTACTCATTTGTGTCCCCACTCACTAGTTCCATGTTTTATAGAAGTTAAAGGAGGAACTGGCAGGTTGGAGCTGAAGAAACACTGAAAGTTTTGTCTGCTTCTGTTCTTTCCCCCCTCAAAGGTGGCTGCCTGGATCAACGAGAAGAATAGCATTGCCCAGGATGATAGCTGGAAGGATCCAAGCAATCTGCAGACCAAACTGCAGAAGCACCAGACTTTCCAAGCAGAGATCATGGCCAACAGAAATCGCCTGGACTCCATCAAATCTGTGAGAGAACTGGGGCTGGTGGCAAGGCTGGGCAACTGGCATGAAAGATTGCAGATGGTCTGAGTTACAGTGATCTCAAACAAGGGAGGGGGAATCACTGTCCCCTCCCCATCATCGTTCACGCTTCTCTGAGGGGACTGGGAAGTCTCTTTCTTATAGGACTTTCTTATGATGGACTTACTCTTTTAGTCCATCAAGAACTTTGTGCCAATCAGTTTCCCTCAACTTCTATCTTGTTTCCTAGTGTGAGGTTGCTATGTATGTTCACTGTACATGCAATGGAAAGAGATGGGTGCTTTCAATGAAAGATTCAGTCCACTGACTTCAGGGACTTCTCTCTGGGGTGAATGCCACCTTAGAGGTACCCCTGTTTCTTTGCAGCAGGGAGCCTAGCTGACTGTCTGCACAATTTAAACAAGTCAGATACGATGTATCAAAAAAAAAAAGAATCAAGAAGAGTTTTCAAGCGTTGCCTTTGCAGAGACATGCTGGTAGAAGAGATAGGAGGGACGTCTGACAAGCTTTGTCAGATACTTGGCAGAAGCTGTGATCAGATGATAAGTTTGGAAGGACAGACTGTTACATGTTTATTAACCTTATTTTCAGCACAGTGTTTACTAGCTGTATTTTGCAATAGGTAACTAAGCATTAAATGTAGATTCCCTCCTCAGACTTGCTTGAATCCAGTATTGCAGAACCCCAACACAAACTTTTTTCTTTTTGTTTTTAACCCTTTTAACCCTCCTGTGCACAGACACAACTGAGGGGTTAAAGGGTGGAGTTACAACTCTCTCTAAACAAGTCTGGTTTTAAAGAGTTGTTTGCACAATCTCTTTCTCATTATTTTTTTGTTTGTTTGTTTGGAATAGCCTTAGTAGAATCATAGAATTGCCTAGGTTAGAAGGAACCTTTCAGATCATCTAGTCCAACTATCAACCTAACACTGACAAAAGCCATCACTAAGCCATATCTCTAAGCACCACGTCTACCCATCTTTTAAATACTGCCAGAGATGGTGATTCAACCACTTCCCTGGACAGCCTGTTCCAATGCTTAATAACCCTTTCAGTGAAGAAAATTTTTCCTAATATCCAATCTAAACCTCCCTGACACAACTTGAGGCCATTTCCTCTTGTCTTATCGCCTGTGACTTGGGAGAAGAGACCAACCCCCGCCTCTCTACACCCTCCTTTCAGGTAGAAAGCAATAAGGTCTCTCCTCAGCCTCCTTTTCTCCAGGCTGAACAATCCCAGCTCCCTCAGCTGCTCCTCATAAGACTTGTTCTCCAGACCCCTCACCAGCTTAAGGGAGACCTACAGACCCTTCTACCAGATGAAGGTCTTGCTGTGCCCTCTCTACTGCTTCTGCCAACCTGTAAAGCATCTGCAGCTCAGAGATTAGAAATGCAGATAAACCTTTATTACATAATACAATGGGACAACAGTACGTGGTTAAAAGAGGGTTTATTCTATCATTCAATCATACACTTGTATGAGATACTGGTCTCTTAACATGCAAGGAAGGGAATAGAGAAGGACAGGTGGCTGGGTGATCTCAAACAGTGATTATAAGATGTGGGGCATCACAGCAAAAAATGAGTGCTTGCAAACTAGGTTCCCTGCCAGCATTTAGGCAATATAGGTGTTGCATAATGAAGATTCTCTTTACCCTTTGTCTTCTAATGTCGTCTTTTAGCATTTCAAATAATTTTAGAGGCCAGAAAAACAGGAAAATCAGCCTCTGCCCTAGTTTCAATGAGCATTTTGCCTTTATCTGTTTTTCCTTTGTCTCTGCAGCCTCTATCTCTTACATCAGAAAGTGATGGCTGCAGCCGGCCCTTTACAAAACAGCGCCAGTAGACGTTGTTTATGGAGGCAAAAGTGATATATTCTGGTGCATTCACCAAAGTAAGAAAACTTTGACTGTTCTCTCTGCTCTAGGAAGGGGAGAAGATGCTCCGTGAGAGGCACTATGCCCCTGAAGCCATTCAGTCCAGACTGCAAGAAATGGAAGAGCTGTGGGAGGAACTGGTAGCAAGTTGCCAGGATAAACGGGCCAAGCTGCAGGATGCTTACAAGGTAACACAGGGATACCAGCAGTTGGGTCTTGGTGTCATTTCCAGAGATAGCTCGGCTGCTACACATCTCTTCTATGACTGTGTCACTTGATACAAGCAGACCTGATTCTTAAAGACAATTAAAGCAAGGAAACTACTAAGTGTGGGCTGGCTGAATGGAATTGGTGGGAGAACCACAGATCCCTATGGAGGGACAGGGATCTGTAGGCTGTGTTCCTTTCTGCTTTCTGCTGCTGCTTTAGATCAGGATTCTAGAGGGGGATACTGAGGGAAAATGTGTTCACTCGTATATGTCAACTCTCTGCATCTGTCCCAATGGCATCTTTTCTCCAGCACATTGAGAAAGAAGAATGAAAAGCAGCTGTGGATTTCTAGCTCCAGGCACATGGCTTCTCATGATTGAGTTTTGCCTGGGCTATCAGACACTCTGTGGGTATAAAATAGAGCTCTCCTTTTAAATGGCTTCATTTTAAGGTACCATGTCCTTCATTATATTTGTGCAACACAATTAAAATTATGTCTTGATGTTCTCTGCATCTCTTCTTGCATTCACTCTGACTTAATTCTCTTCTTCATTTGGACCACTGTCATACCTGGGAAAAGTTCACTGAGCCCTAGGAAGCTTCGCTGTGCCTGTGTGTAATTCTTACTGAAAATGGCCAAGATTTTTATATCATATTGTCTATCCCAAAGGTTTAAATGACCCCCTTTTTTTCCTGCTTGTCCTCAGGGCCTTCATTTTCAGCGAAGCGTAGAGGATATGGAGAAATGGTTGGAAGATGTGGAAAATGAATTGAAAGCACCATATAGTGACAACGATCTGGTGGTTTTAAACAGTCATCTGAAGAAACAAGAGGAACTGGAGGAAGATATTGCTGGCCATAGGGACCGGCTACAAGAGCTTGTGGTCACAACTCAACAATTCCAGAAGGAGAAGCATTTCCTTGCTGATGAACTAGAAGAGAGAGTGGATCAACTGGTGCAGAGGTATGCAAGTGCCTGGCCTGTCTCCTGCCATCTTTATCTTATTTTTATCAGCTTTTTTCTTCCCTACATACTTTTTTTTCTTTCCTTCCCTACATCATTCTGCAAAGAACATTTTGCATTCAGTCCTTATTACTCTGTGGTCCTCATTGGGTTTTCTTTAAAACCTACAGATACAAAAGTCTACGTGACCCTCTGCAGGAGAGACGTGGGAGTCTGGAGGCAAGCAGACTTCAGTACCAGTTCTTCCGAGATGTTGATGAGGAGTTGGCCTGGGTTCATGAGAAGCTTCCCATGGCTTCCTCCAGGGATTATGGCCAATCCTTGGCAACCGTTCAGAGTCTACAAGAAAAACACCAGGTAATGTCATGTGGCAACCATTATCAGTCTTTAGAATCAAAGAGAGATCACGGAATTCAATTTGCCTTTGGCAGACTTCATCTGCTGTGCTTTGGCTAACAGGATTCAAGATGACAGGGATTATTCTTATCCATGTCTGATAATAATGACATTTTTCAAAGGATATGTCCGTGACTTGGCGAGATGCGGGATTCGATATTGTGTATGATTGCAGTGGTGTAGGTGCCACACTATATGCTTTTCTGTGGACACGTTAGCTTTTTCTGTGAACTGACTTCAAAACCTGGCCCTTGCAATACAAAATAGATTTTAACTGTTGTGCATCCTGTCATAGCTTCTTTGGGCAATATGCTTTGAAACTCGTAAGTACATTGAAGCAAGCTTATTGCTCAGATGTCTCAGGATGAGCACCCAGGAAAACATCTTCCCCCAAAACTCTTTCTACTCTGGAGGGAGGGAGTTAACAGAGTGTTTTGATGACCCTTTGCTGACCTTCATTCCAGCGGTAGCTTTCAAGATAGCTGCTGAATTATTTCACAAGGTTCAGATGGGCTGTCAGAGAAGGCAGAGCCTGGACCACTGTCATCTCAAATACCAATAAAACATCAGCTGCCTTCCTAATATATTTTTTTTTTTAATAAAGAGAACTGTCTCTTTCCAAACATGAGGTGAAAGGGGAAAAAAAAGTCCTGCTAAAAGTTTCCAGCAGCTATTGGTACTTAATGCTAGGGAATGACAGCCTATTTAAGTGCCAAGTCAAGTGCCTCTGGGGAAAATCTATGCAATCTCCAGTAGGGTTGGGAAAGACAGAATATCTTATAAAGTGGGAGTGTGTGTGGTATATATACATATCAATAGAGAGAGTAAGCCCAAGCATTTGGTGCAATATACATGTCTACAAATAAAAATCTGAATTTACAAAAAAATTGAAATGTCCCCAGGGTAAAACATCAAGATTGTTACAGGTGACATACTAGAGCAGGGATGAAGTCTCTTAAAAAGTTGATTTATCCCAGGTGTACTCACAATTTAATGAAGAATGGTAAAATGTTTTTAAATGCATCTTCCAGAATATTCCCAAGTAAGACCCATGGGTTTATTCTGAACAGTACACACCTTCTTGTTTGTAAAAATTCTGTATTTAAGTGAGATGCAGTTGGTTACTTTGAGATTAGACAGTAACAACAAAAAGCTGGTTTCATCATGATTAAAAGTATAAATGTTATGTGTGCAATTACTCCTAAAAATTATGAACTGATTGACATGGTAAGGAAGTAATTAGTATCATGGAAGAAAGGAATCTCAGAGCTGAATTAATCTGAGAAAATATTTGGGATAACTGAAGGAACAGGAGAGATACTGCTTTAGGCTACAATTATCTTTGTGTTAATTAGCCAGGTCTCAAAATATTTCAATGGACTGTGAGAATGGGAGATACAGACCATAATATCAGTGCATAATAAAATGCCAATTATTCCTGCTATTTTGCTTCTTATTCTCTTGGAAGCAGAATTAAAATATAAGCTTTGAATTCTCAATCTTTTAGTAGCTCGAGTCTCTACACTTTCTTTTTTTAAATGTTGGTTTACAGACAGACAAACGTCAGAGGTAACATAACAGTCAAGAATTGAACATACTATTAGTTCCACCCTCTATTGTTTGTCTTAATGAGCCAGACTTGCAAAATTCGGTCCTTGGTCCATTACCGCAAAAGAGATTGTGTGTGAAATGTATCAACCTAAAAAAAACCCAAAAAACCAAAGAAACAAAGACACAAGTCTTGCAAAACTGCATTTACACACAAATAGAATATGCACAAACACAACTGCTTGGCTTCAGACAGTTTCCCCTCACTCCTCTCTTCCCTTTTTTTATTATTATTATTTTTTTTTAATTCCTGTTGTTTTAAATGAAGTACTGTGAATACATGTTCCTAAATGTTCGACTGCAAAGTTGTTCTTCACGCTGCTAGCTTATTATTAATACACAGTACAAGATGTTTTATAATCTTTGCCACTGGATTCCGTTCTGCTGGGGTCAGATTTGGTGTCACTTTTCAACAACATAGTGGCTGCCTTGAAATTAATAGGGGGAAGTTAAAGGCAAGATTGGAATCAGAGCTCTTCTCCAGCCAAATCTGATACTTCAGTTGAAAAAGCAGCTCCTCTCCTCAGAGAGGGTGTCTCTTCTACATTAGCACTGCACTGCTGTCTAACTCTGAAACTGCCTGTTTCGCAGCTATGAAAATAAACACAACAATTGTAAAATGGTGAGGTTTGCTTGTGCTCAAGGTGCTCAGGCGTAGTGAGCTGTGGAATGTGCATCCTCCCACGGACAGATTGATGGTGTGGTCCTTACCCACTCAGGCAAATATCATATATGGGGGGATATGGACATATGCACATCTACCAGTCTTCAAAAATTAATTTCAAGTCTTTGAGAACTGGTCCCAGTAGTTTTCTTCTCTCCTTGTTCTCTCGGTTGCCTGGCAGTATGTGTACCCAGTGTTTGCAATGGCTGTTACACAAAGCTGCATCTTCTACAAAGGCGCTGACAAGTGGTAAATACTGCTAAGCAGGTGAATTGGTTGTTCTTCCCTAGACACATTATAACTCAAGAAACACCATGTAATGAGGTGGACGTGGGTATGTTTCAGTGGAATCTACAGACAAGAAGTTTGTGGTTAGAACCTTTTCCCTTCACACTCTGAGGTGGATACATACCAAGGTCCAAACTACATGTCTGTATTTTTTTTCTGTAATCACTCCTTCACCCCAAAAAACCTCATCCACTCCACTTTGAGCATTCACTCAGACTTTGCACCTCTGACCCATCTAGAAAAGAGATTTCTAATGGAATTTCATGGCTACATTGTCTGGTATAAAAATCTCCTTAAATTTTATTTTTGATGTGTCATTTTACTCTTTTTTCAGAATTTGGAGAATGAGATAAGCAGTCGGGATGCTTTGACCAAAGCAGTGCTCAGTACAGGGCAGAAGCTGGTACGGGGAGGCCACTCAGCCTCTAGAAAGATTATGGAGCATCTGAAGGAGCTTGAGGCTTCTGTAGAAACCTTGAAGGCAGAGGCTCAAGAGAGGAGACAGCGGCTCATGCAGTCATATGAGGCCCATCTGTTCCTGAATGAGGTAAAGATGGTTCATAAGAGATTTATTTTGCTCTTTCTTTGCTTAAAAGATCTGGTACCTATGTTGTTGAATGGATGCAAGTGCTGAGATGAGAGTGAATTTTTCATATCTGGTAAGCACAGATACAGTGGAGAAATAACAGTTACTTTTCCCAGTACCTGAAGTGAGGAATAAACATGTAACCTTAATTACTGGACAGATGCAGTGGAGAAATAACAGTTACTTTTCCCAGTAATAAACATGCAACCTTAATTACTGTGTTCTGGGTATGTGTCTTTTTGAATAGTGTCTGCAAGATTGCATTACAGGAAGGCACCTAAGCTGCTCTCTATTTTCACTGATGTGTCTCTTTGGGCACCACTGCTTTCCAGTTTTCTTTGTCTTGACCTAAACTGCAGCTGTGTTCACGCTCATCCCTGTATTTTATACAGCTTCTGGAAGTGGAGGCATGGCTGGCAGAGAGGAGCTTCATTCTGGAGACCTCTGATTATGGGAAGAATGAAGAATCCACACAAGCTCTACTGCGTAAGCTTGAAGCTACCAAGCTGGACATGGATGGTTTCAGGCCCCGGATCGAGAAAGTGCAGGAGACAGGTGCCAGCTTAATAAACAAAGACAGCCCTGAGAGGTAGGAAAGTGAAAACACGCTTCTGCTCCAGGTCTAATAGAAATGCCCAGAGAAGGCAAATACAGAAATGTTCAATCTTCAGTGGCTGTTTGATTCAGAAATACGACTTCAAGGGACATCAATCCATCCTTCACCACCATCACACAGACAGAAAGCTTGATTTTTTTTAATATTTTCACTACTGTTGTTAACAACAGGCCAATTAGTGCAGATCAGCTGCTTTGGCCATTGTGTATTCCCAGGAACTCATTTACCTCGTTCTCATTTACCACACGCATTCAAAAAACACCGTGCTTGGGAAAGGAAATGGACATTCTTGTCAGTTCACTGTTTTTCATTGCCAGTTTGCTTTTATATCTGGTGAGGAGGAAGCAAAAAGAGCAGCCATTCTTACAAGATCCTTTAATTTCCTGATCTGGCTGGTTTTAACGGCTTGGCGTAACTGACTCAGTGATGTTATCTGGTTTCTTCTCTATTGTGATGGTGTTGTAAATTTAACCTGTCAGAAAAGACAATGTTCAAAAAGAATAGTAAAACAAAGATGTGCCTTTTGATTCTTTTCTTTGCAGTCCAACCATACTTGCAAAGCTCCAGGGGATCCTAGCAGACTATCAGTCTCTCCTGCAGAAGGCTGAGACCCAGAGAAAACGCCTGCAAGAGCAATTCCAGCTCTATCAGTTTGAAAGAGAATTCCAGCTGGTGGATGCATGGCTTTCCAGTAAACAGTCTGTAGCAGAGTCGGATGACTATGGGCAGGACCTAGATGATGTTGAGGTAAAAGAAAATGAAAGGTATTGTATGTATTGTGTGGCAAAGATGGAATATGTTTGTTGCAGTTTTGTGTAGCTGCTGACAATGAAGCACGTTACAGTGACAAAAGCTACATGAAATAGTTTTCTCTGCATCAAGAACTCAGACTAGTTTCTGTCTGCTTATACGAGGCTCTCTGAGATAGCATCTTTCAACAGAAAAAGGAGGTGCATCAAAAAGTTAGCTTTTTTGGGGACAAGGTGAGGTTGGCACAATTCACTGCTGTCCCTGATTATAAAACTTGACAGGGCCTAAAAAATTGGACACGACCAGCGCCATGGTCTTGTAACAATTTCAGTGAAAAACACAGGGATGCAGTGTTCACACCTCTGGCTGCTGATTTCAAGGATAAATTTCTCCTTGGGACATACAGTGCAGAGGGGTATCATTCATAGTGTCTGCTCCTCAACAACTGCTGCATAAGTGGACAGCCTAACACGTTATGTTTCTTAGTTTTTGATCTGGGCAGCCTCTGTTTGTCAGGATGTGGGTGATTTTTCTCTGTGATGTAAGATGATCCAGACAATAATGCCACCTTCTGACTCCACATCATCTGGGTTTATCAAGTGATTTGCATCTATAGACTGCACAGTGATGTTATCTGGTTTCTTCTCTATTGTGATGGTGTTGTAAATTTAACCTGTCAGAAAAGACAATGTTCAAAAAGAATAGTAAAACAAAGATGTGCCTTTTGATTCTTTTCTTTGCAGTCCAACCATACTTGCAAAGCTCCAGGGGATCCTAGCAGACTATCAGTCTCTCCTGCAGAAGGCTGAGACCCAGAGAAAACGCCTGCAAGAGCAATTCCAGCTCTATCAGTTTGAAAGAGAATTCCAGCTGGTGGATGCATGGCTTTCCAGTAAACAGTCTGTAGCAGAGTCGGATGACTATGGGCAGGACCTAGATGATGTTGAGGTAAAAGAAAATGAAAGGTATTGTATGTATTGTGTGGCAAAGATGGAATATGTTTGTTGCAGTTTTGTGTAGCTGCTGACAATGAAGCACGTTACAGTGACAAAAGCTACATGAAACAGTTTTCTCTGCATCAAGAACTCAGACTAGTTTCTGTCTGCTTATACAAGGCTCTCTGAGATAGCATCTCTCAACAGAAAAAGTAGGTGCATCAGAAAGTTAGCTTTTTTTTGGGATAAGGTGAGGTCGGCACAATTCACTGCTGTCCCTGATTATAAACTTGACAGGGCCTAAAAAATTGGACACGACCAGAGCCATGGTCTTGTAACAATTTCAGTGAAAAACATGGGGATGCAGTGTTCACACCTCTGGCTGCTGATTTCAAGGATAAATTTCTCCTTGGGACATGCAGTGCAGAGAGGTATCATTCATAGTGTCTGCTCCTCAACAACTGCTGCGTAAGTGGACAGCCTAACGGGTTACGTTTCTTAGTTTTTGATCTGGGCAGCATCTGTTTGTCAGGATGGGGGTGATTTTTCTCTGTGACGTAAGATGATCCAGACAATCATGCCGCCTTCTGACTCCATATCATCTGGGTTTATCAACTGCTTTGCACTTATAGACTGCTATACATAATTTTTGTGTTCTACAGTACAGAGAAAGTGATTCTTTCCACCTCTCTCATAGAGGTGGGCAGAAATTCTCATATCTATGTTTGTGTCACCATTTATCCTGCAGGTACTGGAGAAAAAGTTTAAAGATTTTGTAAATGAGGTGAAACCTCTGGGACATTCCAAAGTTGTCTCCTTAAATGAGTTAGCATCTAAACTAGAGAAGGAGGGCCACAGCAAGATGGACATTATCCAGAAGAGAACAAAGCAAATCAATGAGACGTGGGAGAAACTATGCCATGCTATCCAGGCAAGGACAGAGGTAGGAAATACATGAAAAACTGGGGCATTGAATTCCCTGCAGTTTCCCATGTTCTTCTTCCTTTCCCAAACAAGTGCATTGCTCATATTGAAATACAAGGTTTATAAGAGCAATAGGTGTATTCTGTTCTATTCTTTCTTCAAGCAATTCATGCTCTCCATCTTGGTCATTCGTCTTATGCAGGAATAAATGGCTCTTTGGTGACATCTGATTCTTTCCATTGACAAAGAGAACTCGGAGAAATTAGGTTAGCTTCTATGTCTCACTTTCAGGTGACTTAATTGGAAAGGTGTTTCACTCCCACTCTTGTTCAGTCTGTACTACATTAGGACATATTAGGGTTGCTCTTTTTTGTGCTGCAGCTATGATATATACTATTACCATTAAATTTTTTCTTCATTCCAGAATCTAACAGCAGCCCGGCAAGTTCACCAATACGATCACGATGTGGATGAAATAAAGGGTTGGATGCAGGAGAAAGAGGCCGTGGTGGATATAGATGATTATGGATATGATCTTCCAGGTGTACAGACACTCCTCAGCCAGCTTGAGGGAGTAGAGGTAAGGGGATCTGTCATGAAGCAGTGGCAGAAAAGCATTAATGGCAAAAAAATAAAAAGGAGACCGTTGCTTGATTTGAAATCCTGTCAAGTGCCTTGTTTTCAGGCCAACAAAAGAGAAATTTATTGCACCCTGAAATATTCATTTTGCTTCACAGGAGAGGGCCTTTTCCTCCTTTTTTAATGCTGTGATATTATATTATTAATGCTTTTACTTCTAAGGATTAGCTTCTCTTCTAAAATCTATTCCAAATTGTTATTATGATTACAAAGGTGTCATCTGAACTACAAGAGACTTCAACTCCACACTTAGTGTGTCGCATCTGAAGAATCTTTGATTTTTGATGATGAATGTTAAAAGGCATTGGGAGGAAAATGAGAGGAAAAGTCTTGACAGAGTCATATTTCCAGCCTCTGTGCACCAGTGGCTAGAAAAGATATGCACCATCTTTAAAATCTGCTTTTGATCGATGTAAGGAGTGACTTGTTCTTACAATCCATTCTGTCTCTGTCCCAGAGAGATCTAGGAGCCATCATGAAAGAGCTGGAGCGGATTCGGGGGGAGGCTTGGCACCTCAGCCGCACGTACCCTCAAGTCAAGGAAAACATTATGGAGAGACTCACAGAGGTGGATGAGTCCTGGGAAAACCTGGACAAGAAGTTTCTGGAGAGGAAGGCAAGACTCAGCCAGGCAGAACAAGTCCAGCTCTACTTCAATGACTGCAGGGAACTGATGTATGTGTTGACCCCTTGAGTTTGGCAGTGGACCTTATTTCTTCTCTTACCCATATAGGATTTTCTAAATTACACCTCTCAGTATATTTGACTTCTGTCCCAGATGCTCTGCAGCTTACTTGCAAATCTCTCTTGCATCTTCTCAACAGCACTTTACAGAATTAAGCACACATCAGAGGTGGCCCTGCCACTCCACTTCAGCACAGTGTACATGACAAGCCCACATTGTTGGACTATTTCCTAGGCAGTCTTGGAGAATTCAGTCACTCTGGGTAGATTTGGTAGTCTCCCGATTTCAATTCAAAATACTGTTGATTCTGTGGGAAGATGGGTGAGTCTCTGCTACATTGTCACGTAATTTATAGCACCTGTGCAGACACCAGCGCCCATTTTTCTCAGAGTCAAAACAACTACATTAAAGACAACCTTCTAAAATAGGTTAGCACTTGCTCAAGTGCTGAAAGGGTTTCACACACGTGTATTTAATGCCACTGCCCATATGCACACACCCATTCTTACTAGGGGTCAGGTTTTTTGCAAGAATTCAGTTGCTGGGTCATTCCATTATTTCTTTTTCCTTTTTAAAATCTGATTTAGAACAAACTGCTGAATGTTTAAAGGATCGACAAAATGTACTTTTTTAAAAAAGATATGTTGAGCTAAGTGTCACATTTTGTTTAAATCAATCATGCCAAAGTATCTATAAGCAGAGGTCTAATGGAAAAACTGAAATAAATAATGGAAATACACTATACTCAAAGAGGCAGACCAACATTAAAACATTATATTTTATCATTTTAATGTCATTTTAATAAAAAATTATACATTTTTTATGGAAATTGTATTTTTTGAACAGGATTTCTCACAGAAGAAATATGGACATTTTTAGTTCAGTGTAGTTAATGAAAGAGTTAATCCAGGATAGGAGTAGAAATATAAAGACAATGAAGTGGTCACCACTGGCTACTGGACATTTACTATGCAAAGGGATAGGTCCTGAGCTCAGGTAAATCAAGACGCATTTGTTTATGCCCGTTGAGGCCCTTGGGGTTGAAAATTGTCCTTAAAAAATACCTTCTTGGCATGAGTGCTCTGTGTGCATACGGGGTACTTCCATGCATGTTGATGGGGCTGGATGGACATCTGGAAGTCTCTGTGTCCCTGTACTACATATAGAAGTGCTGTGAATGTATACAGCCCAGTTACAGTTCTTTCTGAGGATCTGAGTGTGCAGGGCTTCAGTAAGTTTAGATGCTGCAGCTGCCTCTCTAACAGGCACCGGGAATATTATATCAGGTGATAAAAGTGAACCCTCCTCAATGTGTTTGTATATTCCTGTCGTTCATGAGCAAGTTAAAGTCCTTGTGCACGTGTCCACAGCCACAGGATATGTGCATTCCTGAGTAGCCAGCAGAGTCACATCCCTTCTGGTTTTACCCGTTTGACTCTGTTCTGCAGGGCCTGGGCCAACGAGATGCACGCGCTGGTGATATCCGAGGAGCTGGCAAACGATGTGCTGGGAGCTGAGCTGCTCATCAAGCGTCACGAGGAATACAAGCGGGAGATAGAGAAACAGTGGCTGAAATATGAAGAAATGCAGCGGGCGGGAGGTGACCTGATGAAGAACGGACATTTCATGTCTGTGGAGGTGTGTTGAGGAGTTAAATATTTTAGAAACAAGAGTGAACAAATAAGATATTAAATAGGCAGGAGTTGCAGCTTTGCTTTGTCTCTCTTTCAAAACAGAAGAACTAAACAGGACAATCAGGTTCTCTGCTGTTGAAAGCTGCAGACTTCATGTGACATGTAGAAAAAGAAAACGCCTTTTAAAGGTCTTACTCCTCTAAAAGCTGATTTTGAAGCTGACTGTAAAAGAATAGTCCCTGGATTGACTATGGCTATGTGGGGGGGGGGTAGGGAGGTATTGCTGTTCCACAGAAAAGATGTCCCACATAAATGAGATTTTAGCATTTAACTGCACAAGACCTAGGATAAAATATATCACAGTGCAATCAACTATAGGACAGAGTGATGTCCCTGAGAACACCAAAAGGTATGTAATTCTTCAGAAATGTTACAGAGCCAAAGGGGCAAGAATGTTGAAATTTCTGTGATCCTTTATCTACGTACCATTAGACTTTGACCTCTGCAGTGGTCCTAAGCTTGTCTTGATACTGTCAGTGCATCCAGAGATCACACCATCCAAAAACTCTTCAGAAATTAGGCAAGATTACAGTACTTCTGTTGTAGAAAGAATTAGAGAACTTTCTACAGCTTAAGGCTTTCCATTGTTTCCTTGCCATAAATGGACGTATTTGTTCAATCTTCTGGTTCTCACTAGTTCTATAATACAAATTTTCTGGATATAAAGTTTCATCACAGCAGCATATGGCAGAAGATTGGTCACACAGTATGTGGAATATGCATACAGTTATAATACGCACTAGTTCTATAATACAAATTTTCTGGATATAAAGTTTCATCACAGCAAAACATATGGCAGAACATTGGTCACACAGTATGTGGAATATACATACAGTTATAATACACAGCTGTACAATGTACAGGCTAAATGGATTCAAGTGAGAAAAATGAGGACCCAGACATCTTTTCCAAACTATGTTAACACCAAAAAGTTATCTAGTGGTCATTTTCTGGATCATGAGGACAGCCTAAACACTAGTTGGGCATCACATGAAAATCTGACTGGATTTTTCACCTCCTGGCATTGCAAATGTTATTTTTTTCTAGATTGAAGAAAAACTCTTAGAGCTGTCAGAGCTGATGAAGAAGGTAAAGGAGAGCTGGGATATGAGGAAAGAGTTATATGAAGAAAACTGGGAGATTCAATTGCTCCGCAGAGAGCTAGAACAAGCAGAAGCATGGCTGGCTGCCAAGGAGAGCTTTCTTTCAGATCCTAGCTATGGGGTGAGTAACAACAGTGCAATCTATTGAAATGTCCCTTAGCAAAGACAGAGTGCTTGGAGCCTGTGTCACCTTGGGCTGAAGTTAATCACAATCTAAACAGTAATGAACCTTAAGATGACAAAGAGCAGGACCTCTGTCCTCTTACAGAGGTGAGCCCAGGACAGTTGCTGCATTTTACGTGGCTATGGGCTACAGGAGATAGTGGCTACCAGGGGGTAGTAGAATTCCAGCCCATTTTTTTACATAATAAGATAATTTGCAGAGGGTTCAACCTTCATTGTCGTGCTGAGAACCTGTTTCGAAAGGTTTTTCCTCGCCTTGTGTTGGGCGGTAGCATGTTTTGCAGAGAAGGCTTGATTGCTAGCTTGTAAATTCCTATTTAAACACCAGCATCCATAGTTTTGTTTTTCTCTTGTTATTGACTGTCTTCTGATGGTTTATAAGATGGGAAAACAGTGTCATAAACTCGAGTATTGAAAACTAAGCAGAGAGCAAGACAGAGGTTTAAGATGCAGGGCAGGAACAAACTCTGTCTAGCACAAACTGCAATCCAAGCACTTAATATGTATGTATACAGTTATGCTTGGAAGCCATGGCTTTGCAGAAAAAAAGAATGTTGTTATTTGAGCTCTTTTTTTCAAGTACAGCAGACAGACTGCAAGCTTACAAACCTTTTTTTTGAAGTGTAAACTAAGATTTTTTTCACACACTACCAGGGGTTTAGGCATTCAATTGTAATTATTTCAGAATCATCATTTGGCTAAACAGAATAGGTAAATCTGAAAATCTTAGGCATAATCTCTTCTGATGGACTTCATTTTGGACTTTTGTATCTGATAATCTTCCCCTTCAGGATTCAGTGTCTGAAGTAGAGGAATTACTGAAGAAGCACCATGATTTTGAGAAGATGCTTGCAGCTCAGGAGGAGAAATTTGCTCAGCTCAGCAGGAAAACTAAGGTGAGAAGTAGAAGGTCAATGAGCTGTGTATTAAACAGGATAACATGGGTCCTTGAATGTTTGGGGCTCTGTCACTCCATATAAGAATTAATTTGTGCTGAGATGGAGTAAATGAGTGACCAAAGCTGAGATATTGCAGGTAGAGCAGCTGAGAACGAGACCTGTGGGTGGACCAAAAGAGTCCAACTGGCTTGCAAAAGCTCAAGGGGAGAAGTGGAAGCTTTCTTCTGCCAGGAGCAGCAAAAAGGCTGTTGTGTCATTGCTGTGTGGGAAACAGGGTGTTCCCTCACTACACGGATGGAGAGATTTTGATCCCTGCAGAATTTCATTAGGGAATTGCAGCCGCCTGACAGTGCTGGGGGATAGCACAGGGCTGAAAATAAAGGAGACCAGTTCATTCTGGCATCAGAGTTCTACAATGGATTGTATTAAGTACAAAAAATACTCAGTCAGCCTCCCAGATCCTGTATCAATGATTTTTTAAATTACTTTCTTGAAATAACCAGCCAAATGCAGCTTTTGTGTTTGCTGTTAGGCTAGAAATTAGCTTAGCTGGGTCTGCCTTCTGTTCCGTGGCTTGCGGGTTGGCTACAGGAAAGGACAAAGGTCCTTCACTCTGAAATTTTCTATCAGAACACCCCTAGTTATCGCTGCTCCCACAGCAAACTTAAAGAAGTCTTGCCACAGAAAAGAAGCAGAGTTTCTCTAGAGCTCATTACTCAGCTTCTAGAGAACTCAGCAAGGGCAGGATTCACTGTATTTGAGATGAACTGGCATCAGTATTCGTGCTTTGGGCAACAAAATAATGCTCAGTACATAGCAATTAAGTTAAATTCTAACACTAAGAATGCCAGGAGAGAATGTATTTCAAAAACTATTCCTGCTTAAAATTAAAAAATCTTAGGTAAGTACCCATGAGTGCAATAAATGTAATTTTAAAAAACATGATACTTGTGTCCTACAGAGGGAGATGAATCTTCTGAAACAAGTGGACACAGAAGAGAGTGAGCAGAAGGATAGAAGCAAAGTTGTACGGGTTCCCTCTCTGAAAAGAAAAACGTCTGACAAAAGGAATACACCACCAAAAGTGACAGAGACAAAGAGCACACCACCAGTCCCGCCTGTGCCCTTACCCAGCCTGTCCTTGAGGGCACCACTCGAAACTATTTTCTCCCCCGTTGAAAAGTCTCCATCAACATTCCAGCAGTTCGCTGCTGGGGGAGTCCCAGAAGCGCTGAGCAGCAACAAGACAGAAATGAAAGCTGAGAGGAGGCTGAGTGAGATCCTCACTCCACCTACACCAAAGACTGTGGGTCCACCAGCTACGGCTTTGGAAAGCCGCAGTTCTTTAAGCTCTCCTCTATCGCCCACTCCCACAGGCCAGCCCCGCAGCAGCACTCTGTCAGAATCCTACGCCACAGGCCTTCTATCACCTCAGGAAAAGAGTGCTAGAGGCTCCTCTTTCTTCAACCTGCAGACAAAAGTCATGGCAACTCCACCCGAGCCTGGCCAAATGTCACTAGATAAACCACCAAGCTTACTGAGGTCTGACTCCTCTTCGAAGCCATTAGAGAATAAATCTTCGGTAAGTCCTGGGGATTCCTGGCTCTCACCTCACAAAACTACGGTCCTGTGCTGGTAAAAATAAGGAAATACAGGAACTTCTGTATGAAAGTCACCAAGAGCACTACACAGTGGGCATTTCACAGAATCACAGAATCTTCTAGGTTGGAAGGGACCTTAAAGATCATCTTGTCCAACCGTCAACCTAACTGACAACAATAGACACCCACACAACAAACAAGGAGCATCATCACTAAACCATACCTCCCAGCACTACATCAACCCGTCTTTTGAACACCTCCAGGGATGGTGCCTCAACCACCTCCCTGGGCAGCCCATTCCAATGGCCGATAACCCTTTTGGTGAAAAAATTTTTCCTAATATCCAGCCTGCACCTCCCCTGGTGTAACTTGAGGCCATTTCCTCTCGTCCTGTCACCTGATACTTGAGAGAAGAGACCGATCCCCACCTCTCTACACCCTCCTTTCAGGGAGTTGTAGAGAGCAATAAGGTCTCCAGTGGATACACTGATGGATCCAAACAACAAGAGGCATTTTATGTGCCTTTGCAGTTGATGCATTTTCTAAAAAGATTGCTGACTTAAGCAGCTAGGTATAGCTTAAAAGCATTTTTAATTTGCTCAGCTTTATCACCTAGGTCTTAACAGCTGTATTGGTTTCTGTTTTTCTTTCCCAAATGAGAGGTTATTCATGCTGATAAATACTCAGCAGAGCACTTAAAAAGAGCCAGGAGATACTGTCTCACAGAGGCAAGGCTGCTGATTTACCCACCCCCTCGGTGTGAGGTGGTGGTGCTCAGTGTCCACGGAGTTTAGAAGTCAGGGAGAGGCAGGACTTGGTGGCATCATTGCCAAAGAGCTGGCCTGGAGCAAGACTAGAACCAGCAAACTCCTGTTTGCTCACCGGTGTGAGTAACTTCAACAATTTAAGTTGTAAATTGTATTTAATAACGTAAAAATTCTATTAATTAATTAATACACCATGATAGAGCAAATACCATGTGCAAATTGTTCTAGAAGGACCTAAATTATCGTGATTTAGGTAGTATATCAGAGGTGTGACTGCAGCCTGGAGAGGATTTGTAGCTGTGCTGTGAATGTAAACGGTAGAGGCTGCAGAGATCAGTTTCTAATATCTTCAGATATTATAACATGTTTAAGGGGCATTTGAAAGTTAAACAGCGATGTTCTTGTGTGTCTCAGGCTTCTGCAAGTCTCCAGCACATGGAAGGATTCCTAGAAAAGAGAGACCAGCTCCTCCCAGGAAGACAACAGGTAGAAACAAATGCCATTACTCTGGGTTAATTCATCTTTCCTTGAGTTATAGACCAGATCTGGCCTGACTTCTTCAGGTTAAACTCTTGCTGACAAGGAGCTCAGGACTGTGGGTTTAATTCAGTTATGACTAAAACACATGAAGAAATGTCCCCTGACTTCAGCAGTACCTGACCAAGTCCTTCAGAGAAAGAGACAGTGGAATTTTTACCTGTCATGGGAATCATGCAGAACAGGGTCTGGCTACATTTAATGGCTTTATGAACTAGAGCCTAGGCTGTATGAACATGTTAGTTATGTTCCCCTAATGAGAAATTTAGGTTTCGATATATCAACGGAATTGGAAAAAAAAAATCAATATTTAAAATAAAAATACAAGCTTGTATCAGCATATGATGTTTATTTGGCAGAGGAAGCCCTCACTCCCATGCTCCCAATGCGTATCATTTCTAACTGTGTTAGAAGAAGGTAAAGTTTCTGTTTATCATTGAAGAAGTGATTTGTTTAGTCCAGGGCTGAATGAAACCAAATTCTAAATTCTCATCCTGGGGAAGAATATAATTTCAGGTCAGTAGGATAATGACCATAACAGGCAGGAAATTTTCTAATTTCCTAATTTTCTAATTTTCACCACCAATCTGCAGACAGCTGAGTGTTTGCTGAGGTATTGCATGTAAACAAGTTCTCTTGGATTTTTTGTCCCGTAGAATATTTCCTCTGAAATTTTTAACTTGAAAGACCTCTAAAAAACCGAATCTGGTATGGACTCCATCTTCTTGAAGGGTCTCATGGCTCTGACCTTTCCCTGGTGCACAGTTGGGGCAGGAAACAGCAGCTGCTTTTGTGCTGTGTTCGGTACCGTTCCACCAGGGTTAGTTTAGGATGTGAAGAAAAATTCAGCAGCCACATTAGCTTGAAACCACACACTGAAAAAAACAAGACTGTGACCAGCAGGCAAGGGCCAGCATTTCAACTGGGGAAAAAGTAGAGTTTTTATTGGTCAAAAATAGACATAACTTTGATGATCCACCTTCTCTTAACGGTGGTGCTGCCCACAGCGTGCTGTAGAGCTTGCTTGCACCATGTCATATCATTTGTTCAGTCCTGACTCAGAGACACCCTTCCTGAATCACCCACACCAGAAACTACAGCAGGTTGTGTTCTTCTGGGAGATAATCATGGCTAAAAGAGCTTCTGTGACCATAATCTGGGGAGCTCCTGGCTTCCTGTGGAAGTCACACATGAAAGATTTCGCTACTCCAATAAAATATATAGCTAATAATTGGATTTTATTACTATTTCTATTCGTATAGCCAGGCTCAAGGTCTTGGAAATCCTTCTATGCAAAACTTGATGGATTAAAGCTTGATTTCTACAATGATGAAAAAGACGCATCTAAGGTAATGTGGTTTTTGAATCTTTCTAGTAATCTCTGTGGTTACCTATCTAAAAATGCATTTAAAATAAAAGAGAGTTACATTTGCTTTGCTTTGGAACTGGGATAATCAGTGCTCTTTTAATTGTCAACTGAGTGAAAATTCAACAATTGTTCAGCTGATACCAACTATAAGACAGAATAATGAGCTTTCAGAAATTTTCAAGGATGTTCCCTAAAAGAAGTACCTTATTCAAGAATAAGATATAAGATATATTATATTAAGATATAATGCAATAGTCCATTGTTCCTCTGTGGTTCTTCCTATTCAGTGCTAAAGGTAGGTAGGTATAAAGCAGAAGAAGATAGTATGGGTGTGTTGGGGTTGGTGTGGGATTGAATCCTAAGCAGAAAAGACGCAGAAGACATTTTGTTAATAATTTCATCCCCCTTCAGAACGTACCCGCGCTCCTGTCCGTCAGCATTCCCGGTGCCAAATGTGAGAGACTGGTAAATTACATCAGGAAAGAGAACGCCTTCATGCTTCGGTAAGTCTGAGGGAGAAGTGCACTAATGAAATCCCCCCCAGCAACCTGTACAGCTGGATTTGCCTACACTCACTTCAGAGTGTATGCTGTTAGGAGGCACAACCGAAATGCCTGAAGGACAGCAGGTATAAGGCAAGACTAACTGGAATTCACCTTCTTCTGTCTTCATTTACAGGCTGAGAGATGGGGCAGAGTATTTCCTTGCAGCACCTTCTCAGAGACTGCTGGAGGACTGGCTGCAATCTCTGCAGAATAACATAGGTACGTTCTCACTTCAAGAGTGAGCTGTGTTTTTAGCAAGGGATGGTGAGAGAAAGAGAATGAGAAAGTGTCCTTAGGAGGGGGGATTCTGAGCTGTCCTTTTTGTCTCTGTTAGACACAAAGTCACAGACAAAGTACACAAGTCACCTGCCACCTTGTAATGACCTGGCAGGAGAATGTCCAGGGTGACTTGCAAAGAATCCTTTTGGTTGTACTGCAGCCAGCATCAGGTTATTCCCAGGGCAGGGTGGGGATGGGGGGCCTTGCCCAAGGACTGTATTAATCCTTTTCTTAAAGAGTTGCTTTGGATCTTGATCAACAGCTTTTCTTCTAAATCTAGAGCTCTTTCTGGACACCTCACTAGGCTTCCTGGAAAGGAAGCCAGAGCAGAATTATAGCAATGATGTTCAGGGAAAGTTGTTATGGACCCAGAAATGGTAAACCCTGCCTCTAACACTGCTTCAGAAGGTTTTTATTTGTGTTCTTTGACTCTGCAGGACAAAGTAACAGACCACATTCCACAACGATGCTGCAGCCTTTCACTCCAAACAGAGAGACCTCCCAGACCAGACTGTGGGACTTTGCAGACAGAGACTCTGCTGAAAGACTGACCACCAAAAGCTCACTCCCGAGGTAGGGGCTCTGGGCTGCAGGGCTGCACCGGCGTTACCACTGTTTGCGCTTAGGGAGCAGTCACCTACAAAGGAGATGATGGCCCCGAGGTCAAAAAGTCCCCTTCCTCTGTCAGTAATCCAGTAAAACACATTATTCCTGAGTATGACCCTACCTCAATTAATTTGTGCCATTTATGATGTGCTATGGCCAGTTTTTAAAAATGGGCCTTACTGTAGTCAGCCATGTCTTGCCTGTGACAAAACTGGGGCACCCAGAGGAATTCTTGTATTGGCTATTTTGTAGGCACCAAATGAAGTATCTGATCTGTAGACCGGGTTAGCTGTATGCTCAACAGAGAGAGACTCGTTCCAGCAGATGAGGGAATCAGAGCAGGAATCTACAATAGATGCCTTGGATTTTCCTCTGAATATTCTCTCCAGCAGGATGTGAGAGAAACCCAGCCTCCTGGATTTGGTTAAGGAGCCAAACCAGTTGTCTAAAGTTGCACGGTTTGAATACTTTCCTCAAAGGCTGTTCTGAAAATCCAAACACAGACAAATGAGGAAATCTGGCCTGTAGTGTAAATCAATTTCTGTTGCGTTTGGAGCCAGAAAAATCCTACAGACTATGATGTGAAATCCAGGTCCTTCTGCCTGGTGGGTTTTTGCTACTGAGCTAGAGGCCTGACAAGTTCTTACTTATACACAGTGACTTCAACTCCTCTAGATTGTACCTGATTTTCTGCTGATGTGTGTTGTTGACAGGAGAACACCTTCCTTCAAAATCAAACCAGAGAGAGAGTCTGCGGAATTTTCCAGAGCTTTTAAGGACGATGGGACTGCAGCGACACGAGCCTCCACCACCCCCCTGAGCCAACAAACCGGTAATCAAACAAAACCACTTCTGTCGCTACTAGAAGCACGAAGAGAAAAATGACATTTGCCCCAATGAATAGCAAACCCTTCACCACTATATCTTAATCCAGCCATTTCCTCTGGAAATGAATTGATACGTTTCACGTTAATTACTACCCTTGGAACTTCTTTTAATTATGTATAAAAATCTAGTAAAACCATGAAATGTAATTAAACAGGACCGCATCTGGTATGCTTTTGTGTATATGACAACTCTGTCATTGATTGTATACCCTGAGTGGTATCTACTCCAAGTGACCTCATGGAAGAGGGAAGAGCAGAGGGACCTTTAGGCCAGAAGGTGACTCTGTGAGACAGAGGTGGGGAGCGTGAGCGGAGCTGGAGGTGCAGGCTGTGGGCCAACAGCAGCCACCTGCCCAGGAGCTTTGCAAATCTCAACGGGTAAGATCTAAGAGGGGTGGGCAGTCTGTGCACCACAGGAGCAGCAGTCTCAAAGGGAGCATTTCTCCTGTAATTCCTGCAGCGTTCTGTAGTCTCCACAATCTTTCATTTTTACAAGACATTAACCGACAATTTCCCAACTGTTTTCCAATTCTTTCTGGATGAGGTTACCGGGAGAAAAAGTCCTGTGGAGTTACTGGTTTTTAAGGGAATCTGAATTTAAAATAATGCATGAACAATCAGTCTTTCAGTGTAAAAGGAGAGGAAAAGCAGGACAGCAAGAAGTCTAATCCCGAGACCACTGCTCTTGGAAAGACCAAAAGCTAGATTAATGAACCAGCCTGTTGGGAAGCTGGGTTGAGGAGGAATTATATAAGCTAGTCTTTGGGGAAAATGTGGGTAAAGGGAAAAAACATGCCTAATAGTATGTTATTTGTATGAAGCCTTAGCTTGTTCTTATTACACTATTGGCCTTTTTTAATCTTCAATTCCTATAGCTGAACAGGGTGGTAAGTGCACACAAATTACCCAGTTTCTATCTCCGCAGTGCAGGCAGCAAAGTCCCAGCACGACGCAGCAGCAGCAGCACCATAAAGACGGGCGACCCCATCCGTCTGAGTCTGTTCTTTTTAGCAAGTAGTGTCACACTTACTTTGAAAGTTCCAATTCTTTCTGGATGAGGTTACCGGGAGAAAAAGTCCTGTGGAGTTACTGGTTTTTAAGGGAATCTGAATTTAAAATAATGCACGAACAATCAGTCTTTCAGTGTAAAAGGAGAGGAAAAGCAGGACAGCAAGAAGTCTAATCCCGAGACCACTGCTCTTGGAAAGACCAAAAGCTAGATTAATGAACCAGCCCGTTGGGAAGCTGGGTTGAGGAGGAATTATATAAGCTAGTCTTTGGGGAAAATGTGGGTAAAGGGAAAAAACATGTCTAATGGTATGTTATTTGTATGAAGCTTTAGCTTGTTCTCGTTACACTATTGGCCTTTTTCACTTTTCAGTTCCTATAGCCAAACAGGGTGGTAAGTGCACACAAATTACCCAGTTTCTATCTCCGCAGTGCAGGCAGCAAAGTCCCAGCACGACGCAGCAGCAGCAGCACCATAAAGACGGGCGACCCCATCCGTCTGAGTCTGTTCTTTTTAGCAAGTAGTGTCACGCTTACTTTGAAAGGACACCACTCCTTGGGCTAAACTCAGAAGCGTTGGTGGGATGGGACCTCTGGAGGTCTGTAATTCAGTGTCTTACTCAAAGCCAAGTACTCCTCAACAGTAGATCAGCTCAGGTACGGTTTTGTCTAGATAAGCCTTAAAAACCCTCCACGGATGGCAATTGCACAGTCTCTTTGGGTGACCTCTTTAGTGCTGCTCTACTCTGAATTTACTCCTAAAGTTTCATATGACCCTTCCAATCCAGCCCTTGTGCCTGCTGTCCCCTGCTGGGCTATACACCATCACCACGAAGAGCATGAACCCATCAGCTTTGTACCTGCACTTCAGCAGCTGAAGGTGCTGTCATGTCACACTACCTTCTTTTTTGCCAGCCTAAGCAAGCACAGCTCCACCAGCCTCCCCTCGTGGGCTGCTTGCCCTCAAGCACCTCATCATTTTGGTGGCCCTCCATCACACCTGCTGCAGTCTCTCTGCTTCTCCCTTGACCTGGGCCTGCCCAAACTGTTCACCACGTTACGTGTATGACCTCGTCACTCCTGGCTGAAGGGGGTTACACTCCTGACACAGCCCGTTACACGGGGGCTTTATTTGCAGCACTTAGCCTGACCGTGGCCTCCACTGTAACTGCCAGATGTCTCGGTCTCTGCTGACAAAGGGGCATATTCTGCACCTGGTGCTGAGTTTCACACCTTTCCTTGTTCAACTTCATGCGACTTCTGTTGGTCTAATCCTCAAGTTTTCTTGAAGTCCTTCTGGATTGAAGATCTGCCATTTGTCATGTCAGCCACTCCCTGTTTTTTTAGTATTGTCCCCAAATGTACTGAGGGTGTGCTCTGCCTCACTGTAGGCTCACTGATGAAGTTGCAGAACAATATCAGTATTTACCCCAGGGTACTCCATTTGTCACCAGCCAATGTCCAGAAGTCCAGCCATTAATGGCTGCCATTGCAGAAGACAGTTTAAGTCGCAGAACAGTGTCAGTATTTACCCCAGGGTACTCCATTTGTCACCAGCCAATGTCCAGAAGTCCAGCCATTGCTGCCATTGCAGAAGACAGTTCGGCCTGTTTTCAAGCCACCTCACAGCCTGTTTGTCCAGCAAGACTTCCACAACTTCTAAATGAGAATGCTCTTAGAGACAAGGGACCAGCCTTACTGAAGCTGAAGTACATTACATCTACTTTTCTCCACTGGACAACATACCTGGTAATTTCACCATAAAGGGCAATCACATGGTCCAAGCCTGATGTCCTCTTAGTAATTCTGTGCTGAATGTTTCTGATTGCTGCCTTGTCCTTCATATGCTTGGAATGAAGTCCAGGAGGACTTGCTGCATGATCTCACCAGTGGCTCTGATGAGGCTGATTTGCCTCGTATGTAGTTTACTAGATCTTTTCTTGCCTTCACAGTAGATTGTGACCCACCATGAGAGACCTCCTCCAGCCACCATAATGCTTCATAGGTAGTGGAGCAGCAGTCCCATAGTCACACAGCCTGACAGCGCAGCACTTTACTGACCATCTGGCTTCTCTAAGCAGCCCCTGATCTGTTGTTTCCCCAGTGTTGGGTCTCCCAACTCCTTCCCTACCCCTGCTGCCATGCACGCAGGCCTGGGACCAGGCTCTACTTGTGAGAACTGAGGAAAAAAAAGGAGGAAAAAAAAAAAAAAAAAGTGGAATAATTCAGCCTTTTCCATCTCATCCATCGCTAGGTTTTCTCCTCCATTTGCATCCCTAGTGGGACACAGAGCAGTGAACTGAAACAAATTTAGAATGAAGCCTTGTGCAATAACGCAATGAAATGGCTGGGTTAAGCAGTGTATGTTGAACTGAATCTTCTCCTGCAGGGGATTAGCCAGAACCTCCTTGATGGACAGACATGTGCGCCTGCACACACACCCCTGTGCACGGGTGTACTCCTGTGAGGAGGAACTCGTCTCCCAAACTCACCACCCCAACAGCGATGCTGTATTACCCCTTCTCTTTCAACAGCGTGACAAGATGAGGCCCCACAATAGGTCACTGACCCCACTTGAAGAAGTTCTGGTGCCTGATAGAAGGGTGGAGAAACAACATAAAAAAAGTCTTTAAAAAGTTGTTAACTGTGCAATAAGAACATGGTCTGCAGAGACTTTTTCTGGATAAAATGGTCTCGTTCCTTTCACAACACATTGTTGTGTTGGAAACTAGACGGCAAGGCCAAGGTATACACCGAGAGAGGAATGATCATCTCATCCCAACGGAAGCGTGAGAACTGAGGAAAAAAAAGGAGGAAAAAAAAAAAAAAGTGGAATAATTCAGCCTTTTCCATCTCATCCATCGCTAGGTTTTCTCCTCCATTTGCCTCCCTAGTGGGACACAGAGCAGCGAACTGAAACAAATTTAGAATGAAGCCTTGTGCAATAACGCAATGAAATGGCTGGGTTAAGCAGTGTATGTTGAACTGAATCTTCTCCTGCAGGGGATTAGCCAGAACCTCCTTGATGGACAGATGTGTGCGCCCACGCACCCTGTGCACGGGTGTACTCCTCTGAGGAGGAACTCGTCTCCCAAACTCACCACCCCAACAGCGATGCTGTATTACCCCTTCTCTTTCAACAGCGTGACAAGATGAGGCCCCACAATAGGTCACTGACCCCACTTGAAGAAGTTCTGGTGCCTGATAGAAGGGTGGAGAAACAACATAAAAAAAGTCTTTAAAAAGTTGTTAACTGTGCAATAAGAACATGGTCTGCAGAGACTTTTTCTGGATAAAATGGTCTCATTCCTTTCACAACACATTGTTGTGTTGGAAACTAGACGGCAAGGCCAAGGTATACACCGAGAGAGGAATGATCATCTCATCCCAACGGAAGCAATTTGCAGAGAAGAGTTGTCACCATTTTCAGGAACGGGCCGGTAAGCGCTGCAGGCGCATGAAAGGCTTCAGCCTTTAAATTGCTTGGGCTCGGTACTGACAAATGAGAGGAATTAGGTGCTGTCAGGTCTGTACCTCACTCTCGGGGCTCATCGGCCAAAGTGCATTGCTGTGCTCTCAGAGGAGATCAGCCTAAGAATAACTGCAACCTGATGCCCCATCTCCGCAGATGAAAGATAATTGCACTTAATGCTTTGTCTCGTCTGGCGATGTTTCTGTGCTGGGTTTTTGCCTGGAGGTGCTGACGCAAACGGCCCATGGAGTCGGCCATGTGGCCTGGGCAGCTCCAGCCCAACAGAGTCCATTCCCAGTGCTCCCAGTGGGCTCTGCACAGTCACGGCTGCTCAACGGCACCACTGCCCCGGCTCTAGGAGCCCTCACACACAGAGAAACCAAACCCTCATCAGCCACCTGAGCCTCACCCCCGGTAAGAAAGCAAGAAAGCAGTTATTTCCTAATAGAAATGAACTTTTTGAGGTTTGACAGATTCTTACAGGGAAGATGCTCGACCTTTCAAAAGTGATTCACACATCAGAAATGCAGAATGCCGTGGGATTAAATTAGTGAGTGTAAGCTTGTCTTTCTGCACCTGCCAAAGCATCAGGGCACTTTATGTTATTCTGCCGTAAATCAGTTTCAACAGTAAAACAAAAAAGTAGTGGAAATTACCATCTGATCTGGGTGGGCTGTAATTTGGGTGGTCAGAAAGCATGACTTTACTGAGGAAAAGTAGCATTTGCAAAGTTATTTTTGCTAAGCTATAAATAGTGAATTTTGAAAGGTAGTTT